ATTGAGAAGTCTGCTGTGATTTTGATGGGCTTTCCTTTGTATGTGATTTGTTTCTTTTCTCTCACTGCTTGTAGAATTTTGTTCTTCTGTTGGGTTTCTGGAACCTTAACAATTATATGCCTATGTGTAGATTTTTTTTGATCAAGGCTAGCTGGAGTCCTAGATGCCTCACTTATCTGTATGTCAAGATCTTCTCCCCTGCTTGGGAAGTTTTCTGCCATCACTTCTATGAACAATTTTTTTAATGTCATCTGAACTCTCTCCTGTTTCTTCACTGACTCTGATCAGTCTTATGTTATTCTTCTTTGCATTGTCTAGCAGGTGCTGGATTGATTTTTCGTGGTCTCTTACAATTTTAAAGAAATTTTTCTTTTCCTGGTCACCAACAGCAATGTTATCTTCTATATCTGAAATTCTGTCCTCACATTGGCTCATTCTGCTGCATAGACTTTCAGTGGAATTTTTAATCTCCTGGAAATCTGTTTGCATCTGTTTTATGGATTCCATTTGGTTCCTCAGCTCCTCTATTTTTTTAATCTGTGTCCACTCTAGATTTATTAATCATGTCTTATAGTACGGGCACAATCTCTGTTGTTATCTGAGAAATTATTTCTGATTTCATTTTTTCCATATCCTCTTTTTGTTGCCAGTTCATGGAGTTCAAGTGGCTGAGTATCACAGTGTTCCATCTTGTTTCCAGTGGGGTTGTTTTAGGTGATCTGGAAGTCTGGATTTGAAACTTGTTTATGTGTCACCTCATTTCAACGGGGGCGGGGGTTGCTCCTGGCTCCTGGGCAGCTCACCTTCTCCGTGCTGGCAGGGGTTATACAGTGGCCTGGAACCTCCTCTTGTTGTGCCCTAATCATCTCTTCTTACCTCTCCTGACCAGTTTGGTAACTCATGAGGCAGGTGAGAGGCACAAAGAGCAGCTACAACAGTATTTAAGCATCCAGGTGGTCATCCACACCTTTCCCCTAACATTTTGGACCATTTTAAAAAACATTCCTGTCAATTACTTTTCTCACTGATATTACACTGGGATTGTGGGCAACTATGTCCTAACAGAAAATATGTCCCATTTTCCCAGTAAAGTGCCATGTTAAGTTCTAAACAGGATTTTGTCTATGGATATGTAAAAAACTGGGCTCTCATCCAAAAGATCTTATACAAATACACCAAAGACAGTAAAGGGCTAAACATGCTTTATAAGTCTCTACTTTTTTTTTTTTTTTGTACAAGAGATCGAACTCAGGACCTTGCACTTGCAAGGCAGGCACGGTGCCACTGAGCTAAATTCTTGGCCCTTAAGTCTCTACTTCTAAAAGAAGTTTTACTTGCAGTAAAGAGGCCTAGAGAATGAATTTAAAGAGAAAAGAAGCCTTTTGTTCTCAATCGTTCCTAGTTCTAAACAACAGGTTATAATCGCTTTGTGTTGGTACATTATTTTGGTAGAGTGGCTTTAAGGTAAGACATCTGGGTTCAAACTCATCCTCTGATGGTTAGAGATGCGCAGATACGGCACCTGACTCCAAAATGGCTCACCTGTTTGTACAATGGTGACAACACCAATTCCTTCATACCTTTTAGACCAGGTTAACTAAGACAAGACACGTGGTGCTTTTCAGAGTGGTCACTACACAAGGAACACTTCAACTTTTACTGAGCCAATCTATATTAAACCTCCTGCCTCTTCCTAGGATTTACATTGGGTCTCTAATTTAAAAATTCAAACTGACAAAGGTGAAGATTAATATTTGACACACAGGTCTATGAGCTTTAACATACTGGAAATTAGTGTAGCTATCATTACAGTCAAGAAAGAGAAGTGCACCATCACTCGAGAAAACTCCTTCATATCTCTTTGTAGTCAAACCTTCCTCCTCCCTTCCTAACCCTTGGCCATCAATAGTCTATTAATCTTTATAAGCTGTTACTTCAAGAATTTTATGTAAATACAATCTGTACATAAATATAAAACTTTTGGGGGTGGCTTCTTTTACCCAGCAAAATACTCTTGGGACCCAAGTTATCTGCACGTATCAATAGTTCATTATTTTTTCTCGCTGTGTGGTACTCCCTTGTATGGGTATACTACACTATCTTTAACCACTAATTTTAATCTTTCAATTTTGTAGGGTGGGAGGTTTTTGTTTTTGAGATGGGGTCTTGCTATGTTTCCCAGTGTGGTCTTGAACTCATGGGCTCAAAAAAATCTTCTAGCCTCAGCCTCCCCTGGAGCTGGGACTACAGGTGCTAATTTTGGATGACTAGGACTAAAACTGCTGTAAACATTCATGTTTTACATAAACCTAAGTTTTTACTCACTTGAATAAATACCTAGGAGTGTGCTCTGAACACATTTTGAACATTCTGCTTTATTTTCAAGAGAATTTTAATGTTCTTTCTTTTTCAATATAATTAGTTTGAACATTCTGAGAAACATCTGGTACTGTGGATGACAGCAAAATGGTTGCACTTTTCAGGAATGAGTCCTAGATGTAAGATATACCCATGTATTATAAGCCCAAAATATTAAGAGAGCTCGACCAAGCCAGACTTTCAAATGCTGTGGGACTACAGCCTTTGCCGAGTGATTTCTTAGTGTGGAGGAAATACATGAATTATTTCAAAGAAACCAGGGTTGTTGAAGAGCATGACAATCGTTCTCCTAAATTAGGAGACTCAATCCCTTCAGTGGCCTTCAGAAAGTTATGTGCCTGATGATCACCACTTGGGAGAGGATCGGAGTGTTACCTCTTTAGTCCTGGGAGCAGTGTACTCCTGCATGCCACATAACACTGACCAAACTCTTATGTCCTTAGTGAGTGACACACCAAACATCTCAACTGCTGACCACTTACACCTTGCACAGTCATCTCTTACCTGTTCTAGCTGTTTCTGAACCATGCTCTGCTGCTCAGTCACGTGCTTGAGTTGTTCTGCATCCTCTTCTGGGAATTCTCGCCCTGCCTTCTTGGCAGTGCGTTGTTTAGCTGAAAGAGCCTTCTTAGATTTTCTGTGTGCACCAATTTGTTCTTCAAGATACTTCTGCTGCATCTGAAGAAGCTGCTGGGTCTCTTGAAGCCATTCTTCATACTGCTTGCGCTGTGAATCATCTGAGGGAAAAATCAAAAATTCATCTGTGTTAATTTTCGGAATAGTCTGAGATTATTACAGAAATCCATTTTGTAAGGCAATACAATTTCACCATGATATTTAATAGAAAATTTGAAAGCAAAATTCTAAACATCAGATCATGTAACTATAAAGTAGCAGATTTTAGAAAAACATTTAATAAAGCCACAGAATATATACTTAGGACACTGGTTAGCTTAATTCTTATAAATATTACAAATCCAATCTTTGAGAGGCAGAAGACTTATCTAATGCTTTTATATCTATAGAACTATCAAATTCTCTAACCCATAAGCCAAAGTATATATTAAATTATACGTGTACTCTATAGTTTCAACTTTACACATTTTAAAGAGAGAAGGTAAGGCCTATCTGGTCCAGAGCATGGATTGGATAATCATTTCCCATGCTCATTTCCCTCAGTTTATAAGGCTTTCCCAATCTCTCACTAGTGAAAACATGAAATAGAGGGCAGGAACCCAGAACATTCTAGAAAGAATCAATCTGAAGTTTGTTTTATAAGGAAATCTGTAAATTGAAAAACTGGTAATTTTAATTTTGTACTTTGTATTTCTGTAAACACGGGGAGGGGAACAGTAATCCAATAAAATCTTTTCTTTTTACTACTGCCACTATATCTCCCCAGTCACATCTCCTTGTCTTGTACCAATATTCTCCTCCTTATTTTCTAAGGGCACTTTACTCCACTGATGCCAAGTCCAAGAAAAGGGGTCATCTCATATAGTGAAAAATTCAGAGTATTCCTTTCTGACTCACTACAAGACAAAGAAATCAATAAATACAATCCTAGAAGGACATTAGCTGAAAATAACATCAATGATAACAGAATATTGTCATACATTAAGAATCCGACCAAAGCCAATGGGCACAATAAAGCCAGAAAAAGCCAGTTGGTTAGAGTAGTTTACTTATTTTTAATGCAAATATGTATTCAAATTACAATCATAATTAATACAGGGGAATTTCAAAAGCTCAGACTTTGGGTTTGTTCCTAAACCCATAAGTTCCAGTACATGTATGAACTTGAAATCTAGTCTACTAAATTTGAAGGGCATTTTCAAGAACAGGCTTTTTCACAAGGTTTCAGAAGTTCTGCTTCTGGTAGAATGAGACCTACCGCAAGGAAAGCCTTTCTGGTTTCTGGAACCAGGAGAGCAGAGGTGAGCAAAATGAAAGATAATGGTGAAAAAGTTAGCTAAACAGTCTGAAGATTTCAGAAAGGTTCAGTTTGGGGAGAACTTTAAATACTATCCTGAGCCACCTTGGGACCCCTGAGGATAACCAGAAAGGGTTCAGTGGCATCCTGCACACTTGACCTTCACACCATGCTGCAACCCAACTCCTTTTTTTTTCCCTTTGATTTTCCCATCTGGTGTCCTTGTCACTTTGGTAGACTGTCATGAGAGCAAAAAGTGGTTTGATTCTATAGATTGTAAAGTGCCCAATCTATAAATGAAAACAGCAACAATAATATATCGAAGAGAATGGGGAAGATGAATTTTCTGTATTAAAATACAGATCTCTAACTAATTCTTCATGCAGAGCAAAAAGAAGCAATGAAAATACATGCCTTGAAAAAAAGTTGCCTACCAGGGCAGTGACACTTGATAGAAGAGAGGGCACTCAGGCCTAAGGCAGCACTCCTGAACTAGCTTTGAGTGCACAGAACAACACAAGTACAGCCAAACAGCAATCCCCAAAAAACAGGTAACTTATTAGATTTATACTTACTGACAAAGCCTGGACCAAAATTTGGAGGATTAGGCCTAGAAATCTGATGTGTTATACTGCCATCCTAAAATAAGTAAAATTTACAAACATGTTTAATTCCACACTTCAGTTAAGGGAGAAAAATAACTTTAAAAGAAGAAAAGCAAAAAAGAAATAGGAAAAAAAACTTTAATCAAGTTTTGACTTTTATACAGAAATTAAGATGCAATAGTGGGTTAATCTAAGTCATGACAGTGTATTTCTATCTCTGAACTACCGTATTTTCTAGATTTTTGTATGAAAAACATGTATGCTTGAGATAAAGAATTATTCATCTGTAATACAATAGCAGGCCAAATTAAATACTGTTAACACTAAACTGGACGTGAACAGTTATTAATCTCACAATTCCTTGATAATCGCTTGTTAAAATTTTGAAAAACACTTTACCCAACTGTTCCAAGTTCTAATAGACATAAGCTGTACAAAAGGTAATAATTACAAACAACACAATCAGCCAGAATGTATTATATGGTATCTTTGTAATACTGCAGTCATTAGTGTAACAGCTGGCCAATCAAGAAAATAGAGGTTAAGGAATCTGCCCAAAGTTGCACAGTAAATTCACAGTAGAACTGGGATTTAAAAAAAAAATTCAGCTACAAACACTATACTTTCCCCAATGAATCAAATGGTGCCCTTTTTTTTAAGTAAAGAAAAAGATAGCACTATTAGCATAACATGTCCAAAGTCTAACTGGTAGAGTAAAAGAGAAACTTTCAAAAAATATATAGAGTAGGTAGCTCTTTTTTCCTAGGGAGATATTTTTAAAAATATCATTGTAAAAATATCATATGAAAAGAGCATTTCTACGTCCCCAGACACTGCTTGACACCAAGAATACAGCATAGTCACACTCCTTATAAATGGTGAATAGTCAAAAAACTAAGTTATGCCAAAAATCAGAACATGACTACATGAATAATTATAATCATTACTTTCTACTGATTCTAGCAGTTTAATTAATTGCAAAGTAGAGAACATGAAATGTGTTTCTGGAGGACAGATGGATGGATGAATGGATGGATGACTAACCAGAAGCTTTAAGCATTTGGCTTCCCTCCAAGTGACTTTCTACCTTTAAGCGCACAGGTCATTTTCAGAAACGACAGTCAATTTTTTTTTTAGATTCAATTTGCCTTTTGTTTAAAAAGCAATAACCATCTTTACTTCTGTTGCACTGGCAGCATATTCTGGCAGGGTCTCAGGGCTGCTGCTCCTTCTTGTAAGGGACCTCACTACAAGAGTGGTTGGTGGGAAACAGGACAGCATGCCCTCCAGAGTGACTGACAGGAGCAGTGTTACCTGAGCAATAGCCTGCGGCACCAGCGTCTGGCCTTCACTGTTCTGAGCTCCAGGTGCCATCGGGCCCATGAAGGGGAATCTGTGAGACAGAAGCCCAGAGTATCAGACGGTGAGCATTTACAACCAAAGTTATGTTAGATGTCTAACAACTTTCTCTTCCAGGGAAGAGAAGAATAGTAGTGGTGGCAATGCTTTCCCCATCAAGAGCAGTTTGCAAAGCCCACCCTCTGTGCCAGCAGACCTGTTTCTCCCTCCCTCCATGAAGTGCACACTTGGTGCTGGCACACCCATCACTTGGCATGAAAGTGGGGGTCAGAGGGATAAGTAATTCTCTCCACAAGGACCAGCGAGGCTCTGTGGAGAACCCACTTAAGCTAACTTGAGAGGCTGGACTCTGTTACATGACTGACTGGACTTTAAAGTGAAGTAATTCAAGCGTCTAGGCTAAAAAGACAGTGAAGATTTAGCTTCTTTATGTAAATTAAGGAAATTGGAAGCTTAGCTATTTTATATTCTAAAAACAAGAAGTAACTCAAGAAGCCACACACATCTCTATCTAATGAAAAAGCAAATTAAAACTGGTGACTGATCCAGCTGTACGATTAAAACTATTTGGAGAAATGTTACCTATTCTAATTAATGTTATATAGATAAATGCTTAACAGAGCATTATGGCTTATATGAAAGTATTTCTTCTTTTAGTCATCAAATGCTTCAACATACCAAGATATACATATAACACAATTTCAAAATATATTCCAAATATTGCACTGTACCATTTAAGTACAATTAGAATTTAGAATACATGTTTTTAACTTCTTATGCATGGGTCCAAGTCATTTGTCACCCTTCCACTGCTATAGCTCTGGTCTGGAACTACTGTATTTCAATCCAGATGCTGCTCACTGTTGCTCTCAGAAGAGACTATCATTTCCCTTCAATTACACACTTAAGGGGACCTCAGGGACTGATACACCAGTATACACCTAATGGCGGAGGCATATACCCTAAAGTATCAGGTACAGGGAGCCCTTTTTCATGAGTGTCTTTATAAGATATGATAAAAATTACACTGACAGCAGCTGCCGAGCACCATCTAACAGAAAGGCAGACTTGTGAGTACATTACAGCATATCTTCATTCACCTTATTTACTGATCTGGCATGGTGCGACCTCTGGCTCTAACTCAAAGTCAAAATAACCATGAATTATAAATGTTTTGAACTGATTTAGGGCATTGAGGCAGCCACTACAGAGCAGCTAAAGACATTCGTGAAAGAGGTCTTCCAGATCTGCTTCAGAAAGAGGCAGGAACAATGGAATAAGTGTGTTTGAAGTGAGGAGGTTTAATGGTGACATAGCTTTTACTGTACTAAATTTTTAATATCTAAATATTCATTGTATTTTAATCACACCTCATATACCATTAATCATTATTTTAATAACTGTTTCAAATATAATTGATTTCTTTTGTAATATTATTTTCTGCATATAAAATGTCCACAGAGGAATTTCAAATGCTTTACTGGACTGCTGAAAAGTCTTAAGACATAAAAAGGTTAAGAACCCCTATGATAGAGAAACAATGCTAATAAATGCTACTCAATAATGAAAATCATTAGAAACCACTGTATTTCTTGATCTTAAAAGTGCTTCCTAACTATACCCAGAGTATCTTGACTGTTGAAAAGGACTATGCTCTTAAGATTTCAAACTTCCCTAAAGTATACATTTATCTTAGATTTACACAGATTTTATATTCAATTCCATACCTCATATTTCTATTTATTAAAAAGAATTTTTCAACAAGATGATTAGGCTACATTTAGGCTCCATGCTTACTGTATTGACAGAGGTTCTCAAACAACAATCTACCTAAGAGCCATTCATAGTGCTCCCTAAAAATATAGACATGAGGGCACCATCCCTGTATGTTCTGAGTCAGTAAGATTGCAGTAGAGCTCAGAAACCTGCATTTTAAAAAATGAACACACAATTCCATAATCAAAACTGAACAAACAGTTCCCTGTGGTTAATACTCTTAGGAATCATGATTACTTTAATTTCATAATTACTCAAATATCTCTTATATCCTTCTTTAATGCATTCCCCCCTTGGTGGGGGGACATCCAACTGTCACCTTATCCACTCCTCTTGACTTTCTTTGCTGATCCACAAGTGGTTTGGGGATATTTTATTTTAGAAATGAATTTGCCTTAGTCACTTAGTATCTTAATGCAAATATCTCTTAGCATTAACAATTCTTTAAAAAAAAAAAAAGCACACACTTACATAGTCCATTTCTTGATTGACCAAGGTAATCTTTCTTGATTGACCAAGGTAATCTTTCAAATTTTTCAAATCTTTCTATGGTGTTTTACTGGGTTTACTTTTACTACAATTAATGAAATTTAATTCCTTACATTTGTGTCATGCTTGACATCTGATCATATCTGATACCTAACAACCAATTTAAATATTTATTGTTCATCTAGACTATAGGTTTTACATTTCTGTAAGCTCCTAGAAAACAGTAATGACTCATGCCCATCTCGATGCACACTAAGAATGTAAGCACCTCCACCTACCTGCTCATCACCATTGGTGGCATGCCCAGATTGTTCTGTGCCATCACTTTATTTATGCCTTTAAGGGCCACCATTTTGGCTTTCATTATAGGATCTGTAATTGCATCAAAATCTGAAGAGAAAATATATTTTAAAGTTACTTATTTCATCATACTTGGTTCAAGGTACACTAAGTGGTTTATGTAAGGATCACAAACATAATTTACAAACTTTTTCACTTCATTATTCAATAATTATTACAAGTTTCTGTACTACATAAGGGAATCATGAGATGGTAACAACCTTAACCTGAATTTAATTTCAGTAATTCATAAAAACAGGCCTTAATACCTCAGTCTTGCAATAATTAAAAGAAAAAGTCTCCCTTTCACTCAAGCTTATCCAGTGATAATCAGAATAGTTTCCTTAGCAATGTACAGCAGAAGTGAGAATCTAAAGTTATTCTCAGTATTAAGAAATTCCACTAAATTAGTTATCGCTCTTTAAAGGAAAAAATGTACCAATTACTTGAAAGTATATCCTCACAAGAAGGGTACTGACAGGCTACTGAGAAACTATTTTGGCATATTAATGCAAAAAAAAATCAATATGGTGAAACTAGTAATATATAGAACAGAACATTTATTTCACTTAGAAAAGAGCATTCTTCAGACATGTGCCTTCTGATTGTTAATTTCTATATTCAGAGGCATTGAGGAATTTTGATTGCATGGCTTTTGTTTTTAAAATTTGTAAACCAATGGATTAGAGGCTTGCATGGAAAAAAATGCCAAGTATTTGCTATATGCACAAGGACAGCAAGAAGCTTTACTTCTATCACAGTTTTTTAAAATTTATCTTTCCATAACTGAAAATACACAGAAACAAGTGGTTGGCAGATAGAACTAAAATGAAGGTTCTTCTAATTTCTATTAAATGATAACACAAACAATGGAGTTGAATAAGTTTTGAATCTCCTGATTTACCTAGGACTTTAAAACTCAGTTTAAAGTTCCAGGCGGAACAGAACCATACTATTAGTGCTCTATTCCAAACATACTTTCAATAATGAACTCTTATAAGCATACTGCTTGTCACCGTGAGGGCCACAGTACTCTATTAGAGACCTAAAGGAATTCCTACCAATATTGGGGAAGAATGGTTCTGATCGCTGACGAATCATGGCTTGCATCTGTCTCTGCTGCTGCTGTTCTTGCCTTTCTTGATCCAGAAGATCTTGTAGCAGCAGTGGCTGCTCTTCTAGAAGGAGGGGCCTCTCTCTATTCTGCTGGGCTACTGTTTGAGGGATCATCAGTTGTTGGGGTCCAGATATGCCACTGGTACCAGACTGACTTGAGAGAGGCACACTTTGAGTTGTAGGCGTTCCTGTCCCCAAATTGTGGTTAACTGTTGACTGTCCCTGAATGACTCCTGGATTTACCTGTATACCCTGAGAAAAAGTATGATTTACCCTAGGGACCACTGTGACATTAGAATTCATGGCATTATCCAAAACAGGGCCAGGTGGTGCCATTAAAGTAGAAGGCAAACTTGACACATGGCTAGATGGTGAGGCTGGCAGAGTCAGTGGGGGAGATCCCAAGGGCCTAATGTCTGAACTTTCAGATTTTTCATTGGCAAGTAAACTTGAGAGGACTGGAGTTGATCCAGTTATGTCACAAGAGTTCACTATATCTTGAGCAGGCAGTGGAGTGGATCCTTGAATGACATTTGCACTAGAGCCGGCAGTTTCTCGATTAGCTCTTTTCTCAAGTAGGTCTGGATCAGATGGTGGCAAGGAACCCTTTTGCCCATCACTTAGATCTCTGTGAGCAGAAGCCTGAGAGCAGGGAGGGTCAACATCATCTATACTCTCATCGCTTTTCTCAGTTTCAGATTTGGCTTCCTCTTTAGAATTTGGAGACAGGACTTCTGTTTTTATCTCATTGGGAACAGTGGATATTTTCTGTGGCAAATGGTTCTCAGAGAGAACCACAATTTTGTCTTCTTGCTCCTTTTTGGGGGGTTCAACAGATACACACTGATTATCTAACTTATCATCAATTGGAACATTAAGGTCTAGCTCCTCATTAAACATGCTTTTCTTATCTCCCAGGTCAAGTTCTGGATCTGTGTATGCAATGATATCAAACTCTCCTGACCTTAAGAGATCATCCAGGTTAGGGTCGTTAGTTTCCAAATTATCTAAAGTATCCAATTCATCTCCCTTGCCATCCTCTGTATCTAAATTTAAATTTTCAAGATCTTCATCATCTAAGTCTTTTACTTCAACCCCCTCAAGGTCTTTAACATCCAGTTCTTTCACAGAAGGGTCATCAGAATCAAGTTTTTCTTCCAGGCCATCAGAAGACTGGCTGGTTATCTGTAAATTATCAGCTGCTGTTTCAGCTGGTACAGATGTTGACAAAGGCGCCTCAGAAAATCCACCACCTAAGGGATGACTCATATGCCTCATGACCATAGAAGATGGATGGAGAGGATGCCCTTGCTCTTGCTGAGACGGTGGTACTTGTTCCAAATTTGGATGCATAGGGAGCTGAGTAGGTAGACCCTGGGGAGGCCGTCTCATGGGGTCTGTGTGCCTCGGGCCTGGAAAGTCTGGCCGGGGAATGAAGTTACCATGTCTTGGATTAGAAGGTGCCTCTATAACATTGCCAGGAGTAGCAGGGAAAGGCAACCGTGGCCTTCCATCGGGGGCCCTGTGCCTCAGTTCAATAAATGCTTGGCCCAGTATGTTATGCTGCTGAACTGGCAGGCTCTGCGGTGGAAAGTGCTGAGGAAGTCCAACTGGATTACTCATCTGTGAGTTACTTAAAGGTCTAGGCATTTCTACAGATATTGATCTTCTCAGGTGTGGAGGAATTCCAGATCCTTGTATTTGCTGAGGAGGCACAAGGAAGCGGTCCTGACCTGACATAGTACCATGACTACCTCCTGGAAATCCAAATCTAAAAACAAAAAAAGCAAATAGTTAAGTATTATGCTGAATTTAGAATGAAGCTGAGAAAGGGAAAATGACCATAAATTAAAAAATTATGGTTCCAAATAAAAGGATTAGATAACATGAACAAAGGAACAGCCTTCAGAATCACTGCCTAGAAATAAGTACAAAACTACTAGAGTTTTGGAGTAGGGTCCATTTCTTTTTTCCTGTATTTAGGGACCCTGTGTGGAGCAGGCTAATTTGGGGGATGCTTGAACAAAAAAGGAAAACTGTATATCTCAGTACATGAGAATATAAAGGCATAAGTGTGGTGACTGGACAGATTACTTTCTTGAAGGCAATGAGAACAGGTGGTTAGAAGAGATGAAGGGTAAGCATCATCTATAAAAAGTTAAGTACATAAAAGCATTATAGAGTGATGATCATTATATATCTCATTCTATAATTATAGGGAACTTACAAAGAAATATGAAATAATACTAATGTAGAAGAGAAAGGGAAAATAAGGGTAAGAACATAGTGTAAGAGATACAGGTACAAGATTTAATCACAGGGGCCAGGGATTTAACTCAGTGGTTCCACCTCCTGCCTTGCAAGTACAAGGTCCTGAGTTCAATCCCTGGTACTGGGAAAAAAAAAAAGATTAAATCACATACCTTATAAAGAGCATATTTTAAAGGGTTCTCTCATTATAGTTAGGGAGTAAATTTGGCTTTGACCTTTCTACTAGCCATTTCAAAAGAGAAAATATGGTCATAATACATCACAGCTAACTTTATAGCACGATCTCATTCTGAAAACCCCCGAAAGGGAAATATGCTTTCAATATGGAACTCTCCACAAATGCTTTACAGTGGAGAGAGGAGAATTATGAGAAATTGATTCTCATCGTGACAGGAGGCTGTGCCTGACGTGGCAGCTCCATTCTGGAGGATGAGGCTTGACTCACAGGATAAACTGCATCATTATGGAGGCAAGGAATACCACTAATACTTAGTAACAAAGGTTTACTTTCACAATTCTTAGAAGCAGAAAAAAGTTCATGATTTATCATTAGTAGAAAATAGCATTAATTATATCTCAGAAGGAAGAAAAAGTACAAAAACAGTAACAACTTTTTCATTAACAGTAACTATTGTCAGTTCCTTCTATCAGCAACTTAAACCTGGTCAGAAATGAAAAGCATTACCTAAATCCATGAGGTCTCATCCCCATACCAGCGACATCAGGAGGGTAGGGACCACGCTGATCTTTGGGGAAAACAGCATATCTAGGTCCAAGAGAAGGGACCATGGGTGATCGAATGTTCCCAGGATAAGGAGGTGGAGGTCGAGTGAAGGCCTGGCCAATGCTCTCACCCTGCCAATGTGGAAGGGGCACTGGGTGAGGCACTGCTGGTGCGTCCTGAGGTCCCTTCTCCTGCCGACTAGCAATCTTCTTCTGCTGCTGCTGCTGGAGAATGATTTCTCGTAGCTTCTGTCGCTGCATGGAAAGAAACAGAAGTCACTAATTTCTGATTACCAGTGGCTTTTAAAATTTTAATGAGTTCATTATATGGCTACAGTATGTTTAAAATGTCTAAACCTTTCAAAGTTTGACAAAACACTTGTTACATTTAACATGTTCATGATGACAGCAGGCTGTAATTCATGTATCTTCCTTCTAGGCAGCTCTGAATGGTCCCTTAGGAAGTCACAGGAAATCCCATCAAGCTGCCCCATGGGACAGTCATGCGTGTACCACCAGTGGTTCGCACTGCTGGGAACATGCTATTTGATAAACTACTTTAAAAAATAGATGATTTGGGTCTTTTTTGGGGGCATACCATGGTAATGAAACCAAAAACTTTTATTAGGATTCCCTAATGATTTCAAAACTAGAATTAGATAAATATTAAATCTAACTCAAATGGTATTAATTTTATCAGTTTTATCTTCTTTACTATTTGATTAAATGAACAGCTTCCACAAATACTACACTTAAAAGCATCTAAAAACAAGCACTTTGTTCACCTGTCTCAGTTTCTCTGTATCTGCTTGAGACATATTCACAGTGTTCTGGGTGTCAGTTCCTCCTGAAGTCGGCACAGGCCCAGAAACCTGGGGCACGCTGGAGAATTGTGGGCCCTGAGAACTCATGGGAGAGTTTGCAGAGGTGTTAAAGCCACCCTCTGGAGCAGGCCCTGGCTGCTCAGGAACATCACGAGTAACCTGACTTGTTCCGAAAGAGTCAGACTGAGATCTTGGAGTCATTGGAGGCTGATCATAGGGATCATGAGCAGTGGATGGGGAAACTCGGCTGAATGTGTCTGAAAGGCCAGGCCCAGGTGGCCTAGGAACCTGGGAGCACATGTCAGGTGGCCTCACCAAAGAGCCAGGTAAAGCAGGTGCTCGGTGCTGTGCTGCTTGGAGGAAATGGTCCTGGTTCGGCATGAGGGCTGGTCTTGCACCTGACAACCTAGTAAAACCCTCTGAGGTTCTTGGCCTTGGTACTGCTGGTGGTTGAGAATAGGGAATAGAAATTCCAGGTCTTGGTGTCCCAGGAGGATGAACATATGGATCAGTGTGCCTCTGATTAGCTGCAGATGTAGCAAACATGTCTGTCTGTGTAGAAGGCCTGAGGGTTGGCGGCTGCTGACTATATGGATCGATAGTGGTAGGCCGGGGAGTTCCAGGAGGCTGGGAATAGGGGTCCGGATTGGATCGAGTTGTTCCTGAAGGCTGGGAATAAGAATCTACCATAGGTCGTGGTGTTCCTGGAGGCTGGGAATACGGGTCCTGAGATGCTGATCTTGACATAGTGCTAGGTTGAGAAAAAGCCCTTGAAGAAAGGGCAAAAGATTCGTTCGGTGCTGGATGTGGGGTGAGGGGAGGCTGACTATATGGATCATTTGACTGACTATGAGAAAAATTATCCACAGGTCTTGGTGTCAAGGGAGGTCTTTCATAAGGGTCAGCAGATAATCGCCTTGATGCCTGTGACATCGATCCATAAGGATCCTGAGAGGATGGTGGAGGATGCAATGGGGTCTTAAAAGGTCCAGGGCCACTATCGGCAGGGGCAGGAGTCAAAGAGGGTCGTGCATACGTGTCAGGTATCCGCTGTCTTTGCAAAGTGTCTCCCCTAGGAGATGGTTTAGTAAAGTGATCAATGGTTTCAGCTGCTAGAGGACCTTTTGCAGTTTGTTCTGAAACCACAGGAGAGCGGGGCAGGCCCAGAGGTTTGGGAAATTGATCCGTCATCACAGGCCTAGGTGTGTCTGGAGGCTTTGCATAGGGGTCACTGTTTGTTGTGGAGGAAGAACATAAGTCTCTGCCTGGAGATGGCCTGTTGGGTGCTGTCTCACTCATCTGAATGGGCCTCGGTACTGACGATAAAGGCACACAGTTTTCCACTGGAGCAACAGAATTTCTTCTGGAAAAATTATGGCCCCCAGGAGGGGGTCTAGGGGTACCAACCATTTTTGCATAAGGATCGACTGGAGATGGAGGTCGGGAGTTAGAAGATCCAGGTGAAAACATTTGTGGAGAATGTGGTTGAGACATTTGAGACTGAGAAAGGCCATCCTGAATGGGAACTCGGGATGGGGTAGGAGGAGGGGGTGGAGCCTGTGGCTTGACAAACACATCATCTGAAGGTGTGGAAGCAGGGGTACTGGGTAGCTGTTTAGAGAACAAGTCTTTATGGAATGTCTGAGCAGGAGACATATTTCCATTGCCAGGCTGAGGTGTCAAGGGACTTTGTACCCCACTATTTGGAGTATCTGAACCAGACGGCACAAGAAGGTGCTGAGAACCAAGCTGCTGCTGCTGCTGCTGCTGCTGCTGCTGCTGTTGCTGCTGTTGCTGCTGCTCATTTTTCACCTGTTCTAGCTTCTGTGTAGCTTCTATCTTAGCTTGCTGCTTGCTTTTCTGACGCATTTGCTATTAAAATAGGAAAGAAAAACCAATTGTATGGTTAAGAAAGAAAATAACTATCACAGGGGCAAAGTCAACAAAAAATTAATTTGTTTTATGTCAGCAGCTAACAGACTTCTTCCATATTACATTATAAATTTCTAAAAAAGAGCAGTCATTATTCATCACAGAATGCCCCATTTATGCCCAGGGCAGTATATTGTTCATAACATTTCAATCAACTTTCAAATCAACTTAAAAACATTTTACTAAAAAAAAGGAAACAAGTCTACTGTACGTCACTTTTCCATGTTCTATGAAGAGCTATATTATGAAATGACATATAAACCCCCTTCTCAAAAAGCAAAAATGAAATTTAAAAGAGAAAAATCATCCAAAAAACTTCATACTTGTCTAAATTTCCATTCTTGTTCATGTTCCGATTCTCTTTGCTTTAATGGATCTTTAAAAAGATCTGAATCCATACGAGAGCTGGGATCAATGCTGTCTTGCTGTTGCTGCCTTTTCATGGAATCATTTGACATCTGGACTTTATTAATGCGTAAAGCAGCTCTGTTATCTCTGGCTTTTTGCTTTGACAAAAAGAAAAAAAGTACCAGTATATTTTAATGTTTTTTAAGAACCAAAATAAAACTATGGTGTACTTTGTCATATAAGAGTAAGAAAAAGGCTAGGTTAAACTGAAAATATTTGAAATGTTGTTTAGAACTTACACCCTCTCATAATCGCCTTTCAGCATACGTCTAGCCACAGAGGATGTGTCTAGCCAATGAAAACGTTTCTATCTATGTATCTGAAGTGGCCTAGAAGATCTCAGGTGTAATTTTGTTTTTTCCCATAGCAAACTTTGTTTTTTATTTTTTTCCCATCTTTTTTATTTTTTTATAACAAAACATTCATTGGTACATTTTAGGCATACATAATGCTAACACTCATCATAGGGAATTTGCACCTGTATATGGTATATCCCGCCTCTTTTTTCTCCTTCCCCCATCTCCTAAAGCCCCCTTTCCCTCCCTACCCAGGTGTAATCTTAATTTTTAAATTCTAATTCTCTTAACACAGCCTTAGAAGAATTAACATGTTTCTCAATTTAGAGAAAAGGACAATGTTACATCAATCTTCAAGATAATAAACAGGACATCTGAAACTTACCATTAAAGAAAAATCACTGAGAAACATTAAAAATATCCCATATTACCTTACCACATTCACAGTAAAATAAAACAGCACATTGACAGATAAATATTAAACATATACAAAGGATCATCAAAATTATGATGAATGTCCACATTTTCAAAAACTTATTACAACATCCTTTCCTGTGTGGGGTTAACTGAGAAATCTGAGGCTAATGTCTAAGGACACTGAGATCTGCCCGTATACAGGAGAGAGACCAAAATGCTGTGTGAGGAGACTGAGCCTTCAACTGACCAACTTGAGTTACAACTAGCCCTTGCGAAAGAATTGGGCTCATAAGTCAAGGGTCCACTGTAATTTAAAATGAAAGGAAGAATTTGATTCTGACAATCATAATTTCTATTTGGAAAAAATAATTCACCATCTGAACTGTGAATCGTACAAAATTCCCTAATAATTCCTAGCTACATCATGTGTTAAAAGCTCCTTAAAGGCATCCAGATATGTCTCTTTCAAGATTTATAAAGATTCTTTACTAAATCTAACAATAACAACAACAAAAACTTATTGTGGAAGAAACTGAGGCATTTTAATCCACTGTCCAAATTTAGTCATCTTTGCTGAAAAGATAAAACAACCTAAAATGAAATTAATTAAGCATGGCCATAGAACTGATTTCAATACTCATTATTCTGGTTTGTTAACTAGCTTATAAAAATGTCACATTCTGTATCAAGATAGTCAGGACATCACTATATAAAGCTACCTGTTAGCTGTGCAAACATTAACTAGCATTTTCCACAAATAGAAAATCTTAGCCTAAGACAATAAAAATAAGGTTGAAACAATGTGTTTGAAGATTTAACAAATAGTTGTTTTAAGTACCACATATGGTGCTCTTTCCTGAGAGCTTGCTTTTCTCCACAGCTTAGCAATTTGTTTCACTCGAGTAGTCCAATCTGCAAGAAAAGAAATGGTCCGAAATTCACAACTCTGCACATCAGCAGTCACCACCAGTGGAAAACTCCATACCTGACCTTGTATGAGAAGTCACAGAAAAAAGCAGGTACATTTAAAATGGGATGGGAGGGAAAGGGGACAAAAAAAGCTGGGATGTGCTGTGTACCTGTACAAACTCCTCATGATAAATGTAATCATTATGTACTGCAAACAGTACTAGTAAAAAATAAATTTTAAAATACTATATAAAATTACCTCCAGGCTATGTGTATGAGGTGTAAATGAAACCTAAGTGAATTTATTTAAATGTGGATCCCATCCCAAAGATATCCCTGAGATAATCTCCTTAATTTGTATGTATATGCAAATATTCCAAAACCTGAAAAACTGCTTGTTCCAAGTGTTCCAGATCAGGGATCCTCAGCTAGTAGTAACATTAAGTGGTTTAAATAGCACAATGTTCCCACCACACAAAAGGCTGAACATTCTCTGAACGAAGTGTTGTCTTATTAACAAAATGACTTGTAGAGCTGGGAAGCTTTAAATTTGAGGAGTAAATAGCCAAAACAATTTAAGCCACATATAAGAAATCCTCATAACTGGGCCAGGGATTTAGCTCAGTGGTTTTGTCGCCTGCCTTGCAAGCGCAAGGACCCAAGTTCGATCCCTGGTACCAAAAAAAAAAGAAATCCTCATAACTGTAAGAGATACTACTACAATCCAAGATTTGGTGAACAATCTGCACTAAACAGAAGTCCATCAATTTGACCTCAAGGAAATAACAGTAAGTGACCATCTCACCACCAATGTGTGCAACAAAACATGGAAAAATAATGATTTTAAATTGTTTCCACAAGATTTAGCATCATGACAGTATATGAAAAGTTTCCAAAAAGCCAATGAAAATGAAAATCAAGTGACAGACCAATAGCTTTAACATAGTATTTCATAAGGTGCTTGAACCACAAAGTAAAATTATTCAAGAACACTGTACATATATAAAATTATCTGTATGTTTTTGCTATAATGACAATTTATGCTGACACAAAATGATATGGTAATCATATCTGCTCATCTATAAACAATAAATAATAAATATGTGGTTAAAGAAAAGCAGTTGAAGAATAGGAATACTGCTTTTAACAGATAACACTGATTTCTATTATTAGGTAAGTTAGCACTTGATTTACTTCTACTCATAATGAATAAAGTGACCAAGGGAGACAACACAAAAAAGTACCAAAAATCAAGGGAAATCCATATGCAAGCCTACTTGTAGGAACACCTCTAATATCTGGAAAGAGCTTCTGTGTTGACAGATGGCTTGAAAACTACTGCAAGCTGAATTTTAATAGAATTTTTAATCCTGGTTTGACAACATCAACTTGAAGCAACAAAACAATATTATTTGCAAATATTCAATAACTAACAATTTATTAATCCAAATATGTCATTCTCTGGTCAATGAGAAATTCAAAAATACTGCTATTCCATCTTGTGCTGTTTTCACACATGTATTAGAGACAGCTCGATGTCAGGGCAGAGAGGGGGAAGAAGAGAGGACAAAGAGTTTAATGCCAATCACTTAGAACTGACTCTGATTTAGGTTTATACTGTCATTTAAATGACAGTTTCTGTTCTGGGTATTTTTTTTTTGGTACTGGGGATTGAACTCGGGTCCTTGCGCTTGCGCAGCAGGTGACCAAACCACTGAGCTAAATCCCTGGCCCTATTGTTCTGGGTATTTTTAAAGTATTGAGCAACACATTTTTAAAGTGCCAGGAATCGTGGTGCATGTCTCTTTTTTTTTTTTTGGTACCAGGGATCGAACTCGGGACCTTGTGCTTGGGAGGCAGGCGCCAGAACCACTGAGCTAAATCCCTGGCTAAGCAACACATTTTTATAAGCATTGCAAGGAAGTAGAAAATTGATAATTTTACTACTTGAAACAAAGTTTTAGGAAACATGCAAGTAAGTGTGGGGCATAAGGCTAAGAAAATGCACAGTGTGTCTACATACATAGAGAATCTTCATTTTGTGGAGAGTCGGACCAAATGAAAGGGCAGTTTGAAAAAAAAAAATCAGTCATTTCACATGAGAAAATATCAGTACAATAAACAGGCAGTAGCCAGGCGTGGTGGCGCACATCTATAATCCCAGTACTTGGGAGGGTGAGGCAGGTGGATCACCTCTTAATTATGAGATCATCAGCCTGGACTACATAGTGAATTCACGGCTAACCTGAACTACAGAGCAAAACCTCATCTCAAATAACAAAACAACAACAAACAGGTACTAATACATCTATGACTTACCAGGGAATTCATCCTTTAAGTTGGGAAAATTAATGTTTGTGTAAAGAACTGGTGCCACGGTTGCCATTTCACCCAGAGCCTCCTCTTTCTCCCATTTCAGTGTGCTACGCTGGGCATTTGACATTGTATCATTTTCTCCTTCCACAGTGGGAGCTGATGGTGTCCATGAGCTGTTAGGATCACTTGCTACTGGATGGAATGCTGGATTTTTATCCCTGGCAAAAAATGAACACTGTCACTTCATAAACAAAAATAACTTTCTCATACTATGCTCAAGTATCACTTTCATTAAGATTTATTACAAAGTAGCTAAAAGTAACATTTGATGAAATACGCACTAATAATTTAAAAGACGAAGAACAAAACAGTATAAATTAAATCAGTATAAATTAAGGCTTTTAAATACCTGGCATCAGTATAATGGGATTGTGCTATAGCTGAAAATGTTCCCAATCCACTTCCAGGAGGCAAAGAATTATGTGGGAGATGAGGACTGGGTCCAATAAGGCCATTCATGAGTGGCATTCGTGAAAAAACATCTTAAGAGAACAAAGAGAGTAAATCAGTTTGCACATTATTGATAAATAACAATTAGCTGAAATACTTCTAAATAAAAACTTTTAATGGTATTCAAAGGTAGAATTTTTTCAATATTGTACTTTATAATAATACTTAAAGAGCAACTTGGTTATGAATTTTGAAATATGGTCTCTAGATCTGTGTTTAACTACGATGTAGTAGAAATAATTTTGGAATACAACAGCATAGAGTCTGAATCTTAATTTGAATTGATTTCCATGTGATCTTGTAAAATGAAGGTATTGTTATGTGGGTTGAGATAATGTGGGTGTAACACTAAGCATATTCCCCGATACACAGTAAATATTTAGTACATATTAACTTTACAAAAATAATCAGATTTTTTCTTAATTTTCATTACTGACAGTTCACCCCTTAAAGCTTTTTAAAGTCTTCCTCAACTTTTATGAGCTTTAAATACCTTATCATTTTCTTTCTAAATATATGTTAGGCAAATGGTAAAGATCAAATAATGTTTTTCCACAACCTTTTCAAGTGTGTAGCTCTAATACTCACTGTGACCACCAGTCTAAACTATTTGGATATAAACTGTCCTTACTGAAGCAGCTTTCCAGGGGGGCAAAAAACCCCAATCAAGTAGAAAATTTTGTGCACTTTCAAAGAGCTGTCCCTTTTAAACATGATTTATGAAGACATACTCCCAAATGTGTAACTCTTACAATCTAGATTAGTGCTATTACAGGTGATTCCTATCACCAACTAAAGATACAAGGCAGTACAGGTATACAGCAAGCTGTACTTGGGATAATGGCAGAGAATCTCTAACTCAATTACTTTGCTATAGCACTGGATAAAAAGAGAAATCAAGATCCATGTCTCATACATGTATTGTTTCCCAATGCATAATGTGCTTTCCTGTAATCAAATCATCTGAATGTTATAACACAAATGTGTACATGGTTCCAATGCCTATGTGAGTAAAGTGAAGTTGATCACAGATATGTTTTCAAAATTTTGTCTTAAGGACCTCCAAGATAAGTCTTATCCTACTAAACACCAGAGCTGGACCCACTACATTAGGATTTCACAATGACAAATTTCTCATTACACGTGAATTTCCTGGAAAGATTACTGGGTAAGGTTTCTGTTGCCATCTGTTTTTTTGAGGGAGGAGGTTTACTGGGGATTGAATCCAAGGCCACTGCTATAACTGAACTACATCTCCAGACAACCCCCCCAACCCCTTTTAAGACAGAATCTCACTAAGTCACTAATTGGCCACACTAGGCTCAAACTTGGAATCCTCCTGCCTCAATCTCCAGGTGTGCTGAGATTACAGGCATGCACCACCACATTTGGCAAGATTTCTGCATTTATTCAAAATAGAATGCGACACCTATTTTCAACCTCAGTGAGAAGTAACTTCCATTAGGTTTTAGTGAAAAATATCAAATGTCTTTTGTGTAATTAGGGTAAATGAAAGCTTTTTCATTTGGCAAAAAAAAGCATGACCTGTCCTGGAGCTGTTAGCACTACCTATTATTACTGAAACATTTTCCTAATGACAATAGCTATTATTTAGTAAGTACTTTACCCACGTCAAGCATTGTTCTAAAAGCTTTACATGGCTTAACTTTGCATATTCACAATAGCCCAATAAAATAGCTCACTCATTTAAGAAAAAAGACCCAGAGAAGTTAAACACCACGTTCAAGGATAGAGAAGTGACATGCAAAGCATCTTTCCTTCATTATTTACTTAATTAAGAGGTAGTCTTTCATTTTTCTTCAAGCCTATCATAGTTACCCAATTACTCTTATCAGTTTAGACATGCAATATTTTTGAAGCATGTCTCATGATAAGACTCACTCACTCAACTCATTAAAAGGAAAGAAGGGAAAGGAAAAATGCTGAGAAATGGAAAAAATGGAAATAAAGTCTTTGTAAATAGGGAAGGGTGGAGGGCGTGAAGGGAGGGCTAGGAATGGGGAAAAAATAAGAACCAAGATGCATTATGTAAAGGTACAATTCCCAATGAGAAATGTAATTGTGTTGTATACCTACAATGTACCAATAAAAGAATTTAATACAAAAAAAAAAGGGATATCACATTACTCTATCTCAATCTTTGTGACATTCATTTCTCCTCTCTGCTTTCTGACCTGTGTGTTAGTGTCAATACACCACACTCAGCCCTGTGCTGTCACTTCAGCTAGAGTTACTCCTCCAACAGTCGCCAACAGACTTCCCCTGTCCACTGAGATAACCCCTTCCAAATACTGTACTCATTCATCTACTTAACTTTGCAACTTGTCTCTAATGGTCACCATTTCCAAGAACCTCTCACTCAATGTCTCAGGCTCTATGTTTTTAACTTTCATCTAACCTTTAAAAGGGAGAAAGATAAAGACTATGAAATCACACTCCTAATATAAAGCAGATGAGCCAGGCACAATTTCATTATATTTGGCTAAAAAGAAGAGTTATTCAAGATTCTCTACCACTAGAGATATATTCCCTGAAAAAAAACCTCGTCCTTCCCACATCAACTAGCCCCATTACAAAGACAATTCCTACATTTTCATCTATAGCCTTGACTAACTGCAACTGTATGCAAGTCATAACAGGTTTTATGTCCCATTTCTACCAAATTAAAGCCAGTCTAAACTAAATTCATTGTTCTCCACTACCTTCTACAAGACACATACCAAGCCTTCCACTGTTCCATGTTTCTAGTTTACAGCATGATTATCTTCCAGGCCAGCTTGGCTTTATATAATTCATTTTATTTTTCCCCTTCTCCTCCTCCCTTACATTCACTCAGTAGCATTATCCTATTTATTCTACCTTAACTATCTCTCATATCTATTCTTCCCTTTTGATTAGCACTGCAGTATCTTTATACATAATCTACATTCCAACTTAATTCTAGGCACAAAAAACTCATTATTATAATTCGTCTTGTCCAAAATCCCTTTCTAGTATTGACAACAGAGCTACCTTGCCACAAAACATAACTGATCAGGCCATTCCATTGGCACGGGGTATTAGTCATTGGCTTGTAGAAGCCAGAGGAAGCAGCTAAATATTCATCTCATTTCCCTAATTATCTATAATCTAGTACCTATATCTATTTTCAGTTTGCCCCCTCAAACACTGCCTTCTCATCTTTCCCTTCTTTGCTCTGGAAAACGGTGAAGTTGCCATTCTTAAATACCTTACTGTCATCCTACATATAACTTGATCATGTTAAAATAGAACTACTTGGGCCCGAGGATTTAGTTGACTGGTTCCGCTGCCTGCCTTGCAAGCGGAAGGACCCGAGTTCGATCCCCGGTACCATAAAAAAAAAAAAAAAAAAAAAATAGAACTACTTAAATAGAACTACTTTTCTATAAATATAAACACTGAAATCTTAGCAATTCTCCCCACCTAAATATTTTCTATCTGTAGATGGTTGAAGCTACACATGTGGAACCCACAAGACACAGTGCTGACTACATATGCACACATGTATATACACAAAGATAAGAGATTCTTAAGGCTCTACTTGAATTATACTCTAAGTCAGTTGCATAAATCAAAGTCTAGAATACTAGGATTATAACCTTGTGAGGGTAAGAAGCCTTATTAGGCATTTTGTACTGCAAATTTAGCCACCTAGCAAAAAAAGTCATCTCAAAAACTTTTTGAAAATGAGGCCAAGTATGATGACACAGTCCTGTGAACCCAGCATTCCAGAGGCTGTGGCAGGAGGATCACCCTGAGGTTAAGGTCAGCATGGGCTACAAAGTGAGTTCAAGGCCACCCGGAACTACATAGGGAGACCCTGTCTCAAGAAAACCAAAAACAAGTATGTGTGTGTGGGGGGAGGGGGGGCCACAGTGAAGTGATTTTTGTAACACCTAAGAGCTTTTATAAAGGAATACATCTTTAACCAATTTGGTCTCTAAAATATGTAATTTTAGTTACAGAAAACATGAAAATAAACCATTTCTATTTGCTGAAGAATTCTTAATCATTAAAAAAGGATGTGGGAACAATTAAGACAAGAAACATTCATGGTATGTGTTTTAACCAAATGTAAATCCCATGTTTAGTCTAGCAACCATAAAAATGAATTTCACATTTAGTGGCAAAACTGGTAGAAAATCAAAACATTTCAATTATATGCATTTTGGAATTTTTCGCGCACATACAAAACTAGTAGAAAAGATATATTATCTGAATATTTAATCACTTACATAAAGATGAGAATTTATAAAGACATTTCTATTCAATTCGGCATACAGTCATAAAGCCATGACAATGAGATACAGAGAAATGTTTTTATGCTGAAATTATCTAAAATATATGCCACCACAGAATTACAAACTCCATTCTAGAGAAGATTCTCTATTTGCAGTGCTGAATCTATAACTTCAGATCTTAATTCTAGGCTATGAGATTTCAGCTCTCCATGAAGAGGAAGAAAACTCAAGTCTTAAACCTATGTTGCAACTAGTTACAAGTAGGTAGAAAAAAATTGATCAAATGAAAGAGACAAATTTCCACAAAATTTCGTGGGACTTGGTCAGTAATTTATTCTCCACATATGTACTAAATACATATTCTACGGCAAAGTATACGGCAACATGTGAGACTCAGGAGCCTAGTCTTTAACAAGCTCCCAATCTATAAGGAAGACCTCAATTGCCCCACAGGTACTAATATTTGTGGTCCATGTTACAAATGAACAGAGTAGCCATGGAGATTTGACTGGCTAACCCCCGAGGAAATGACGGTGAAACAGATCAGATCACTGAGTAAAAGGCACCCAGGGGACTGTGGGCCACGGTGCTCCAACAGAGCAGACACCATGTAGAAATGACCACAAGGCCAAAGTCAGGTGGAGCTAGGACTAGGGGAAGAGGGAGAGCAGGTACACAGAACAGTGCTGGTCATAAGGTGAACTGTAAATTGCAGGGAATTTCAGGTAAGTAGATGTGTGACTGAAGCTAGTATTTTTCCATCATCACAAACAAAGTGTACCCTATCCATCCATGTTTAAGTGATGACTATGGGTGCTGAAGAGAAAAGCAAAACATGTATGTATGCACAGATGTGTGCATTTGTAATATACAACAATACTTGGAAAAGCTCACATACCCTGACTGTGTATTGGCAACAGCTGAGATGGAGGGGGTGGCTGTGGTAATGGAGCTGGCTGGGTGTTCACAGGACTAAGGACAGCAGTAAATAAGTCTTCAACATCCTTTCCTCCAAGCTCTATGAGGGAAAACAAGAATAGTAATAACATTAAAAGACTATTGGGGTCACAATAGGGATAATGTCATCTTTATAGATTAAATATTCAGAACATCAATACCTGGAATTTTATATAACTTGCCGAGAATCGCTCCTAGGACAAAAGAAACAGAAATATTAACAACTACCAATTCAACATATTGATAAAAAAGCACTTGATAAAGAAATTGTTAAAACAGAAGTCAAATTATAAATAAGCATGCAGAAATCTTTGAAAGTCATATTTACTCATGTCTTTTAGAAAGCCTAGATGTAGGGCAAATATTTTACCATCTGTGACCATTTTGTCTAGTTCAGGACTGAGGATCCCATCGAGCTGCTCTTCAGTCAATGGTCGTGAACTCTGACTGACACTTGGCTGAGGCAAAGAGGAAGGATCATCAGCAATGGGACCCATGTCTGCAAGAGCAAGGTAAACAAATGCAATGGTGAATTCAGAAACACACACGCACAAAATGTATGCACTGTGTGCATTAGTATACAACAGTTCACCTAAAATAAATTAAGTCTGTAGTTCTGAGTTCAGAAGGATTCTTCTAGCAATTTGGATAGGTTATCAGTAAAAATTAGGTTCCCTGTATTTGGGAATGTATGTGCCACCTATAGCTATCTTTTAATCCAAGCACATACATTTCCTGAGGAAACACATCAGATTTAACTTATTAATTTCTGCAAAAAAGAAGCCCCAAGTTCAGAAAGAAATCTCTGAGAAGTCATTACATAAATAATTGTTTTAACTTGGAAAATAGTGGTATCAAATGTACATTCAGTTATGGGGTACAATATGTAAAACAGAAGGAATAAATTTCATATAAATGAAAAGCTCTAAATTTTCTATTGTTTAATAAACATTATCCTTTGTAAATAATTTTAATTATAATTTTTAAAATACTCAGTAATCACATTCTGAAAATACAAATTATGTATATAACATTACATCCTTTATCTTATACATGCTAGTATTTTTGGCAATAGTCACATGTGAAAGTAGTCTGTCTATACTTTTTTCATGCTTTCTCAATATTGTTGACCTTAAAAGCAAAAATTTTGGGTGTTCTTATTTGATCTTATATTAGAAACTAGCTGTAGGGCCAGGGATTTAGCTCAGTGGCACCACGCTTGCCTCACAAGTGCAAAGTCCTGAGTTTGATCCCTGGTATCGCAAAAAAAAGAAAGAAACTAACTCTAACATTTGAGTAATATTACAAATTATGTATTAATAAGCATGAAATCATTTGTTTATCATTTAAAAATATTACTAAGAAAAATCACTCAAAGCACAGTATGGCAATACTATGCTTTAGCTGTACACAAAAAGAGAAAAGCAAAGTATGGATTAGTAACAAATTAGCACTACTAACAAATATGCATGCACTTATAGGTTGTTTCAGCTGAAATCACTATTTTTAAAAAAAACTACTTCTAGTCAGAAGTCATCCAGTGCTCAGTTTCTTACCAAACGGAAAAGGTGAGCTCTCAACCTGGAAAGTGCATAAATCAAGACCTACGAGACCCAAACCAAATAAAATGGATGATTACCACAGGAGCGAGAAGGGTGGGAAATGCAAACAAGGCAAGATATAGCAAGACTCTAAGGCAAGGTGCCTTAAATCTAGTGCGATTAGAGAGGCAACAGAAATAACTTGCTATATCCCCCTCCTAAAGTAGAAACACCAAGGTAGATCCAAAAAAAATGTTGACTTCTTTGACAAAGTCAAAACACACAACAAAAAGCCACTTCACAGTTACTAGAAACAAACTAAAGATGAAATGTGCTCCGCAAACATGTGCCTCTCACATGACAACAGCAATCAGCAAATAGTGCTCATCTATACCTGCATGATCCACTGATTTTGCTAGGTCATCGGAGATTATTCCAAGAATGTCATCATCTGTGTTCAAGACTTCAGAAATATCAGCTAATGGGTCATCAGGAGTACCTAAATATAGCAAGTATAATTTTTAAATTTCAGTATTTTCCTAGGCATTAAACCCAAAAAAGCCCTCGGGCAACCATTTACTAAAATTTTTAAGATTACAGCAGATAACAAGGCAAGTTCTAGAATGATAACTTAAAATTTTACTTCTCAAGTAAGGCATTTTCATGGCAAAGGCACACATGTTTTGAACAACAAAAACATTAAAAATTTAGAGTATGTTTTGTGACTGATGCATATTGACAAGACAAAATTTAAAATAAAGACCCACAGGCAATAAAAGTGAAACAGAATGCTAGAAGAAACAAAAGAAAAAAATTTTCATTATAGAAGTGGCATCTGTAAAATGACATGTAGAAAATAAAACACAGCAAAAGTTAATAAAATATGAAAAATGCTTTGTTTTGAAATTCCTTGTCAAGCATAAGCCAGGTACCAGACTACTTTCTAGCTCTGCTCTTCAGCTATTACTCATTCACTCATTTATTTAAATGCTTTCAGTATCAACAGGACTATGTCTTTGGATTATGTATCTGACTAAAATAGCAGTGATAACACAAAGTCTGGCCCTCACAGGACTCTCTCACACATGGAGTGAGACAGTAAACAGATGACATCACTGTAACAAAAATAGAAAAAGGATCAACATAAGCTATGGGGATGCTGCACTTGATAACGCAGTCAGGAAAGACCTTCTCAAAGAGATTAAGCAGAGATCTAAATGAAATGAAAGGGTATTGTGCACAAAGATGGAGAAAACACTCCAAGCAAAGGAAATGCTGCTGGAAAGGCCCTGGACAGAGAGTTTGGCCACATAGGAGACCAGAGTGGTCAAAGTAATAATGAGAAAGAGTGGGAAGAAACCAAAGCCAAAGTGGTTGGCTTTGGGATGTATTCTCAAGGTTGAGTCAAACTTGAATAGGTAAGACGTGGAATGGCAGAGAATGAAAATACAAGGAGGATGCTAAGGGGTTGTTTTTGGCCTAATCCAATAGGAAAATATTAAAACTCTTACTTAAGCTACCTTTTAGTAATTATAGTACTCAACAGTTAAAGAACACCTGAGATTTCTAATCTACTTCAATTGCCTTCTAACCTAAGAAAATGAAGAGGGGGGATGGACAGAAATATAATACTCCAGGTCAAATATCTCTGTGAAACAAATAGTCCTGGTGGCATTAAATATATACTTCTCAAAAAGAATTCACACAAGCCGGGTTCATGCTTGTAATCTCAATACTTGGGAGGCTGAAGAAGGAGGATTGCTGTAAGTTCAAATCCAGCCTGGGCTACAAAGTGAGTTCAAGGCCAGCCCGTGCTACAAAGTGAGACCCATCTCAAAAAAAATCAAAGAGAAAAAAATCACACAGAACATGGTAATTTTTCAAACTGAAAGTTAATATAAGTTTGGTATGCCCAAATATTCAGAAAATTCTTTAGAGAGATAAAATTACTTAAATGATGTATTATCTGGACAACAGCATATGTGAAAGAAATTATGGACAATTCTTTAAGGGTGTCAGTGTTTTTGTTTTTAAGTAAGTACTACATAAATTATAACATTTTTAGAAAAATTCTGTTTAAAAAGTATGTCCCTACCTAAAGTAATATATTCTATATTTTACCAACAAATCACTAAAATCTATCTAATGGGTTATACTGAAATAGTAAAAAACAAAAAAAACAAAAAAAACCTTACATGCATTCATCTTCCATTATAATGGCAAACAGTAGGTCAACTAATTACATTTAATTTAGGTTACTTTTTTTATTGGTACCGGGGATCGAACTTGGGACCTTGTGCTTGTGCGGCAGGCACCAGAACCACTGAGCTAAATCCCTGGCCCAAGGTTAGGTTTTTACATGCGTGCTTCTCTAGCCCTCCCAGTTTTGGTCTTACTATAAAATCACCATCTCTTCAGCAGTTTTGTGGAATAAACAATCAAGTAAAGGAAAAAGGAACAAAAATAATCTATGTTTTTCCTATCACAGTCTGTTCTCATTCAACTGCAATCGTTTTATTTTATTATTTTGGTAATCCTGAAGATTAAACCCAGGGCTTTCTCACTGAGCCCCAGATTACAGCACCCAACCCCCTGCCCCCACACCTTTTCTTGCTTTTCTGAGACACAGTCTTGCTTTGTAGTCCAGGGTGGTCTGGACCTTGCAGTGATTCTCCTGCCTTAGCCTCCCAAGTACTGGGATTACAGGTGTGTGCCACCACGCCTGGCCTCCAGCTGTTTTATAAATTTTTTTGTTTTGTTTTGTTCTGGGGATCGGAACTCCGGGCCTTGTGCTTTTGAGACAGGCAGTGGGACCACTGAGCTAAATCCCCAGCCTGTTTTATAAAATTTTGATACAGGGTCCTGCTTGATTGCCCAAACTGAGCTCAAACTTTCACTCATCCTGCCTCAGTCTCCCAGACCACTGGGATTACAAGTGTGGATCACCACCAGCAGCTAATCCCTTTCCTCATAAAACTCTAGCGCAAATAACTCCAATTAAAGTCTTTTAAATGGCCTGTCAGGATATATAAAATAACCATTCAAGAACCCACAAGTCTTCCATTATACATTAATTTAACAACACATTGATATGGCTAAAAACTAGTAAGTACTTAAAACAACAGAATGTAAACTTTTCAAAAAATTTGTTAAGACTAAACAAAGGGTATTTAGTCCAGTGTTTTCATGCCTATCAAAAGTGAGGTAGACTGGATGTGCTATGGGTACATAAGGAGGAAAGATAGCTTCTAATTATTTCAATAAGTCAATTAAAACATAAGAGTCTGATACCTGGATTTAGCTTAGTGGTGCCACACTTGCCTGGCAAGCCCAAGGTCCTGAGTCCAATCGATAACAAAAAAAGGAAAAAAAAAAGTCTGTTTAGGAATCCTTCAGCATCTACCAGGGACTGGTTCCTGGGCCCCTTGCAAATACTAAAACTTGCAGATGCTCAAGTCCCTGAAGGTGGCCCTTCCTATTTGCAGACATAAAACTTGCAGATAAAAGTGAGTAAACTGTATTTTAATCTAGGACAATAGTGAGTCAACAAAAATAGTAAGTCAACAATAGTAAGTCAAAAAAACATAACTACTTAATATCAAAAGTCACTTTTTCAGGTGCATGCCTGAATCCCAGCACTGGGGAAGCAGAGGCAGGAGGATCATAGAGAGTTCAAGGCCAACCTGAACTACATAGCAAGAACCTTATCTTTAAAAAAAAAAGTCTTTTTTTTTTTTTTAGTGGAGGGCTGCCTTAAAATTGTTTTCTAAAATGAGTTTATCAAATGAACTGAATAACAAATGTACTCTACAGCAAAAAGAAAACTTGTCAGAAAAACATTAATTTATAATTGACAGTACTAAAAAAAATATAGAAGTGGGGAAAAAAAACAATGAGAGAACAATTCAACTAAACCTCTAGAGCCTTGTTGACATTAACATTACTTTATAAACATACTAAGTTCTGGGGCCAGGGATTTAGCTCAGTGGCGCTGTGACTGCCTTGCATGCGCAAGGTCCTGAGTTCGATCCCCAGTACCCACTCCCCCAAAAAGCATACTAAGTTCTGTCATTCTTCTGATTCTTTTTTTTTTTTTTGGAGGTACTGGGGATAAAACTCAGGACCTTGTGCTTGGCAGGCAGGTACAGTGCCACTGAGCTACATCCCTGGCTCTCTTCCCTGATCTTAAAGAGTTCCCATATTCCCCCCATCTAAGACATGGTTCTCAAATGGATGACTGTGCCCACCAAGGACCATTTAGCAATATCTGACAACACTTTTGACTGTCATGAGACCTCAGACAGCCAGAAATGTTGTTTATCACTCTGTGGCTGAGAACACCCTACTTCCCACACAACAAAGGAAGCGGTAAGAAACCAGGATGTAGGGTAACATATTTCACTATATTAAGAGTCTACCAGCAAATTCTTTCTTATGGTATTCTTTTTGGTTTCTGTTATGAATTTCTTTGAACTATGTAATTAACAAAAATACATTTTATCTAAGTTTAAGAGAACAACTCAACCAACTATGGCCAAATTATATACCCTTGCATTGTCTTCAGTAAAGTGTAAACTGAATGTTTTTGTTTACAACTGATTTTGGTGATAGGTGTACAGGTAAGTCAATCTGCCAAATCTGATAGACCTGACCACTTAAAATAGTTGGATTTATTAAATATAAATTATACTTCAGTAAAGTTGCTTTTTAAAATGTATGTGAGTCCAAACAAAAGCATTTCTAAGGTTGAATTAAAAGGAAGGTAAAATGCCATCTGATATAAAGAAAAAAACCTGTGAGTTATTCTACATACCCTGAGTTCCAGGTTTTGCTGGAGTTGAAGAACTAAGTAGTGGATCTAAGGAAGGATCCAAGAAACCTGTGTTCATGTTTGTTTTATATGAAAGCTGAGCTGCATCCTCTGATAGATTATCTAAATTCAGCTTGTTTTGTCTACTTGTATCTAGAAGATCTTTTCCAAAGAAAGCTTCCTAGACAAAGATAAGCACATAAGAAAATGATTAGTTATAAAATTCTAGACAGATACTAACCTGTCATCATTTTTGACAAGAAAATAGAAAACCTTTCTATTTAATAATATAGAAATTGAATATAAAAATACAAAAGGATTCTGTCAATTCTCTTAGATTTCTATTATTTTAAAAGTAAGACTTTTGTAGCTTTAGTACAAGAGACAAATAAAATTATAGAAATATAAACACAATTATGTCAAATGTGTTCCTAGCCACTGCAGGATAGCAATTCAATTCCAGGAGATTAGGTTACAATTAAATTTAAAAATTGATACATTTATAATACCATTGGCACCTTAATTCATATTATAAGCAAAACTAAAGCTTCATGAATATTATAATATTTATAGATTACTTGCAGAGGCTAGCACAAGACTCTGGTCTATAGCTTTAATATTTATAAATTTCAGGTAGATTTAGTAATCTCATATTGATTCATACACAGTAATTAGAGGACTTCCACTATAAATCTGAAAGAGGGTTTTTACAGTCATTTTAACCACACCATTTGTGCAGCATTTGCAGCTGCTAAAGGCTTCTGGCTTACTAACCTTCTACTTAGGTGAACTTTCCTCCACCTCAACATATCACCTCCACCTTCTGGCTAGTTCATTCAGCTAGGGTCCTGGCAGCTCCAGAAATCCTCCACACTTTTCAATGATCAATACAGAAGACAAAAAAGGAAGCATGCAGGACCCATTTTCTCTTGTTTCAACCTAGCAACCTTGTTCTAGTCTATTTTCTACTACATGGCTTGTCTGGAACAAGGATTCTTTGAAAGACAATTTTGTAGTAGACATCACCATTTAACATATTCTAGCCAAATAGATATAAAAAAGGTTCACTGTAACATTTTTTACAATACAAAAGGTGAAAACAGACAATGTTCCCAAGTAGGCACATGGCTAAATCAACTACATATACTTGTACTACAAAATACAATTTTAAAAACTATGTGAGCCATGCTATCTAAGAAAACCCCTAAAATCTGTTATTAAAGAAAAAGCAAGTTGAGGGCTGGGGATGTGGCTCAACAGTTGAGTGTTTGCCTACCATATTCAAGGCACACTTAGCTCCAAAAAAATAAAAAGAAAGTAAGCTGAATGGTATAACAAATCACTCAGCAAAATATACAAATCAAGGCTACTGTAACCATGTACAAATAAAACATAGAAAGTTCCCACTTTTGAAGGGATTAAGGGGTAAAGACGGCCTAGACAACAATTTATCAGATTTTAAATTTTCATACTTTTTAAACAAACAAGTTGTTCACCATGGAAAATTTAAAAACCCACAAAGCTAGAACACTGAATGGAAGATAGTTCACTTCTTTTCCAGCAATGCTCTGATCATCAGGTAAAGTGCTGACAAGCACAAAGCACCCTAGAAAGTTAGAGATGAGGTATTTAATCCTTTATAAATTTGAGAAATCTGAGGCCACAATTAGCAATATTTTTAGTAATTCATGGTGACTCTACTAATGATTATGAAGAAATGGAGTGCCAGGGATTTAGCTCAGTGGCGCTGTGCCTGCCTCGAAAGCGCAAGGTCTGGAGTTCAATCCCCAGTACAGGGGGAAAGGGGTGGGGGTAGAAGGAGAAAGAGTAAAAAGAGGAGGGGGAGCAGCAGCATTCGTTAATTTGGCAAGGCTTCAGTTCCTGTAGTTAACACAGAAAAGTATTTCCACAGAATTCCTAACCTGATATTGTCAGTGACTCAAACCAACAAGAAACTATGGATATACTACAAGGGTGCCTAAAATCACATGGCATCACTAAGCTATCAGATCTCATAAATATTTCTAGTCCAGAGATTATATAATTTAGTTTATCTAGACATTTTTGTGATTCGTAAAGAAAATATAGAAAGGGGGCAACCCACTTTCGGTCGCCCTTCTGTCTCTTTTAGAAGCTATCTTTCTCTCAATAGATCCTACTCTTAAAAAAAAATATATAGAAAGAATGCTATAGAATCTTTGGTACATTTTTGTCAGTATGTGTTCCCCTAATCAAAGGGGGAAAATACAACTAACACAAGACACCTAAGAAATAGTATCATTACAAAGGCTTCCTTCATATTAGCTGGGGAAAAAAAAAAAAAAAAGAGTTCAATCTTACTTTTTGATATGAGAGGAAAAAATACAGCCCAATAAAGGTCTCAAGAGTAATTGGTAAATTAGGTCCAATACTTTTAATGACTCTTGCCATTGTATTTTTTGGGGGTACCAGGAATCAAACTCAGGACCTTGGGGTTACAAGGCAGGCGGCAGAACCACTTGAGCTAAAACCCCGGCCCTCTTGCCATTATATTAAAAAGTCAATCTTCACGCTTTTATAAACAGCTAAGAAACGCGTATTACAGTTTACAGACAGGGAGCAGGTCATCTGCTCAATACTCCCAGAAAGGTCTGCTAAAAAAGGAAATGAGGGAAACAGGAGGCAACAAGATCAAAGATGCAAACAAGAAACGGATTTATTTCCTGACCAATAAAATTACTGTTTAAAAATAAGTGCACAGCTAGGATGAAAGAATATTTGAAGGAAATAAGGAGAAAATAAAACATGTCTTAAAGACTATATGAATGTAAGGCACAGAATAGATATTCTATGTAACTATTCTTTTTTCCCCTGCAGTGCTGGGGATCAAACCCGGGGCAAAGAGATGGTGAACAAAGCAAGGTCACACAACTGGAGAGTAGCGTGCAAATGCAGAACTCTGATTCTAAAGGCTGAATTCTTTAACATGAACATGGCCATTAAAATGTTAGTCTAATTACTAAAAGAGAAAGTTTTATGAGAAGTGAAAGAAAATGTGTTTTAAAACAAATTAATAATAGCTAAATGGAAAATTAAAAACTATGTACAGCTCAAGCAGGATATGTTACACAGTTCGTAGTTTCATAAGAAGACAGATCAGATGAACAGTTCTATACATTCAAACTGAGATGGACACTCAGTGATGGTCTGTCCCAATTCAATGGAAGAAACTGGCCCAAAAAGGATGAATACCAAGCTCAGAGTCTAGAATTATCTAAGGTCAATATTAAATTGTTTTTTCAGTCCTATTTCTAATATAGAGTTCTTTTAACATATTACATGGCTTTGAATTCTATAACTTAATGTTTACAAGATTAAGAAATTTTTACTGATGCCAGGCTAGATAGGTGGCAACTTGATGCCTGTATGTTCATTCTCCTCTTCCTCTTCTTCCTTTTCCTGGAAGGGTGGCATTTGGTTATCTAGGCACAAGATTGAACTGAAAACACCAGTTAAACAGAGTTTCAAAAGTGAACCTCCCAGTGGCATGGGATATAGATTTCTTTTTATAAATAAATGAGATTTCTTCTATAATTAAGCAAAGCTAGAAATATTTGTGCTTTAAGATTTATCTGGTGGACCGTGCTGTGTTTAGGCTGGTATTAAAACATTAGTTTGTATATCCTAAGGACATACTGATGCCATCTGGGCATGGAAAGTTCAAGCATAAAGTCTGTATGTAGTTAATATTCAGAAAACGCTGTTGATTATGATGATGATGAAACTATGATTTTTGAGCTGGACTTATTTTCACTAATGTTGAATACAGTCATGTAATATAATTGAAATATATGGTTTGTTTTTTCTCAAAAAAAAAAAAAGAAATTTTCTTCTTTGTAGTCTATACCTGTAAAATATAATTTCTTCATATTGAGACATCTTTCTAATGTGTATTTTGGAAAACAAAAGAATTCTTTGGCTTAGTCTTTGGCTTACTAGGCTTCTAAAAGCAGCAGACAATTATTAGAGCTGTCACTCTGGCTGCTTAAACTTATCTTCAATTCAATAATTCGTATAACCTGTACTGGCCAAGGGAAGTTTCAATAGGATCTAGGTTTGGTTGCTCACAGATATCAGTGGTATAGAAGACAGCTTTTCACACTTCAATATGTCTTTATTATAGCTTATAGAATATTTAGAAGTGAACAAGTGAGATAAGCTTTTTAGGGTTAGGATATCAAAGTCAAAAAAGGGTAAATGTTAATTTTTATGGGATTCTGGAAGGTAAAATGACATTTATGACTAAATGAAAACAACAACAATAAATCTTTTAAAAACTTAACACATTTCATTCCCTCAACTAACAAACAATATAACATAACGTAAGGCACAATATTACTTGTAAATAAGCAGGGAATGTTTCTTCAAGCTTATTTTTCCTTTTTCGGTATCTTTTCTTTATTTTTTCAGTGCTCTCAGCAACAGAAACAGATTCATCAACCAGAGTATCTGGTAACTGCTCACTCCAGCCTGAAATAAGAGTCACATTTATATATATATGTGGCATTTAAATTTCAAACAAATCCACCCAAGGTAATTTTATAGCTTACCAATATATACAGTTCCATTTAAACAAATAATCTTCTGTGTCATGAAAAGATTTCAAAGCAAGTGTATTGGTAAGTTTAAAGCATCATAAAAATTTAATTTCACGTCTATTTAATATTAGCATGTTTCTTGTTCTCTTAACAACTAGCATTTTCTTGCAAAATAGAAACTTGTTTTATAAAACACAACATGTAGTTACAGACTATAAAAAATGAAAATATTTAATGCTCATGAGTCTGGCTACTCATACTCCCACAGAAAATTTGGTGAATAGAGTATATTAGAAACACACAAGAAAAATCCTTTAATTTATTTCTGTGTGTTTCCTTCGGTCTAGCAATTCTAAGTTCAGAAATGTATTATAATGAGATCATTCTCTGAAGCACTAAGAATGAGTGTGTTCACTGATAGATGTGTTGGGTATCTTAGGTAACTAAACAATTCAGTCCTTACATTGCCTATACTTAATATAGGAAATATGTTTAATAAAGATGACTTAGTCTCAAGGAGGGTTGGGAGTGGTAGCTCAGTGCAGCAGAGCATGTTCTTAGCATATGTAAGGCCCTTGGGTTCAATCCTCAGAACCAAAAGAAAGAAAAGAAAATAAATTTAAAAAGGAATAGAGTTCATTGGATTTAAATCAATTCCTTATCAAATCTGACTGCTATACAAAGTATGAACTCTATGCACATCTAAATCCTGTGATCAATAAGAGCAATACAGTGTGACAGTGGCAATATTTATGATAGTTCTTTCCAATCAAGATGTCAAGATCAAGGGGTTAAATCAAAGAAATTCAGTACTCTACCATCATCTCTGCTAGGTAACTGCTCAGAAATAGAGCCTGAGGAATCTTTTCTGATCACAGATCTTTTGGTTTTTCCTTGCCCCGTTCGACTTCTTTGCCGTACCATAAATCCACCAATACCTATCCAAAACAAGAAATTAGATAAACTGATAATTATAATTTGTCCCTACTGCTTCAATAGTGAAGCATTTTCCAAAATTGAGTCTGACGTAATCTAAATCAATAATCTCATTTTTCTGTGAAATAGAACAGGTTTGGAATAAAAAAATAAATGGTAAAGCTACTGTTATCACTAAGCAGGAATTAAAATTTTCTAGAGTACAGAAAGAATTCCATGCATTTCCCCTTCTAGACTAAGTCAGAATAAACAGTTAAAAGTAGATTTTTTTGTCTATGAATATCAAATTATTTGTATATTAACAGTATACTGTAATAATCTGTACAACACAAGCATATACTGATTAATACAGCCATCCCCAATCTTTTTTGAAAACAATTTTTCCACAGATTTGGGGGGAGGGGATTCAAGGAACAGTGTAACCTAGATCTCTCACAAATGCAGTTCACTGTAGTGTCCCTTCTCCTATGAGAATCTAAGACAGCTGCTGCTCTGAAAGGAGGTGGAGCTCAGGCAGTGAGGTAAGCGATTGGGGTAGCTGTAAACACAGATGAAGCCTCCCTCACCAGACACTGTGTGGCCTGGTTCCTAAGAGACCACAGACCTGTACCAGTCTGTGGCCCAGGTGTTAAGAACCCCTGGATTAATCTGACTTTGGAGGCTGTGCCTAGTTTTTATACATTATGAGTGCCTTTAGACATAAGACACAGAGCTCCCAAGATGAGAGCACAAAATCTAGACACACAAAACTGTAATTCTGTTTACTAACTAAATTTGGGCAAATAATTTAATTTTTCAAAGCCAGTTTTCTGACTGATAAAATGGGGTGAGTGTATACATGCCAGAAGTATAAATTAATATACATAAAGTGCTTAGTTAATATAGTGCCTAGCACACGGTCAACACTAAATTTTTGCCAAATGATACAGCTGTCTAATAATATACTTTGAGACCTAATAAGTGCTCCAATTAAAGGGATGACTTCCATGTAAGGAAGAGAAAGAGGAAAAAACCTCAACAAAAGAAAGTTTCTAGAATCTGCAATATCCTTTAAAAAAGTAAATGCACTTGTAAACCTCATAATTAGGAAGAAATGAAACCATTTTCATAAAATGATTGGGATCAAACTAATGAGTCCTTATTACAGATGAAGGTCTTACAGAATGCAAATAAAGTAAGAAAATGCTTCCTGATATATCAAAAGGGATTTATATGATCCTTAATAAAATATGAGCAATTAAAGAGAACAAAGATTATACCAGTCCAATTTACTACCTCATTTACTTGTTAATAGACATTAATAAACAGCCTAAAGAAAGCCTACAACTTCAGTACTATACTTCAATAACTTTTTCCAATAAGGTAAATAAAATGTGACAAGAGCAATCTACCCCTGCAGAAAATAGAAAGAAAGTGTTTAATCTTTTATGGTACTAACTGGACTAGAAATTCGAGGAGGCAGGTCATGTTTACCTCACACTGTACCCTTTCTGACACTCCTACATAAACACTGTAACAAGTTTTTAAAACATAAAAATATCAGAAGGTGGCCAGGGACGTAGCTCAGTCATGCCACACCTGCCTAACAAGCACAAGGTCCTGGTTTCAATTGCTGGCACCACACACACACAAAAATCGGAAGGTCAATAGTGAAAAGAGAACTACAAAAGTACGTATCAGTAGGAAATACATGAAAGGCTTTAAAGTCAATTATAAATAAAAACCAACTAGTAAAGCATTTAATAAAATTAACATTTGGGATAAGACCTTAAATAATGATTTGCTGTTAAGTATTCAGACACTGAACTGAACAAATCCATCAGCTAAAAAGCAAACCCAAATAGTCTAGTTATTTGGTGTACACATAAACATTCCAGACAGTTTTTAGGATGTTAAACTTAGTCCTGATTATTTCATAACTGATGTCTTCGATTTTTGAGTTTTTTGGTTTTTTTGTTTTGTTTTGTTTGAGACAAAGTCCCCATATGTAGTTCAGGCAGGCCCTGCACTATGTAATCCAGGCTGGCCCTGAACTCACAGGGCTCCTCCTGCCTCAGCCACCAGAGAGCACCACCAAGCCTTGGGGTTTTGTTTTTGTTTTTGTTTTTGTTTTCCTTTTTTGGGTACTGGGGATCGAACTCCGGACCTTGCACTTGCAAGGCAGGTGTTGGAACCACTCAGCTAAATCCCTGGGCCTTTTGATTTGTTTTTGAGCAGGGTCTCACTATATAGCCTAGGGCTATATAGGAAAAACAGGCTGTCCTTAAACTCAAATCGGCCTGCTATAACCTCCAGAGAGCTGGGATTATAGGAATGTGCTAACGCACCTAGCTGCAGTCCTCAATATTGTATTTTTCTTAAATTAGCTAAGTTTTTCTAGCTGAGGCACTTTACCTGGTCTGTATGGCTTCCTTTTTCTCTTTTTGACACCATCTGTTCCCTCTACTCCCTTAGTTTCATCATCCACAGGTTCACGCTCAGGACTAGATTCTGATTTTCCATCACAATCCATAAGTTCTGCTTCTGGAAAAAAGTAAATGTACAGATGAAATTGGAGCGGTCTACCAAATACATGCTCCATGGGCAAAGGGAAATATAAAGCCAAGGGGCCATCAAACTACCATAACTGTGCATCTCAGCAGGTAGGCAAAGCAGAGAAGAAATCAAAGAGGTCCCAAATCATCGTGGAAACCACACTGCTTAATGTCATGTTCTCAGGGATACAAACCAAGAAGCAGGTAAGGGGAATACAGAGAGAAAGAACTCAAAAAGACAATGATCAATCAAGTTGCATTTTACAAATCATTCTCTTACTTTTCATTGTCTCCAATTCCCAGATTCCAAGCTGTCTCTGTAACCTAGAACTCTTCTGAGCTCCAACCACAGTGGTAACTGAATATTACCTAGTTACTAAAAACTATCCAAAATTATATACTAAAGATGAACTTTCTCCCTGTCCTATGTTACCCAGATCATGGGACATTAAAAACACACCCTGAAAGCTGGGCATGGTGGCCCATGCCTGTAATCCTAGCAATCAGGAGGGTGAAACAGGAGGATTGCCTTTAGGCTAGCTTGGACTACACAGTGAGTTCAAAACCATTTTGGGCTACACAGTCAGACCCTGTCTCAAAAAACAAAAAATTAAAAATTAAAAACAAACCAAACCACATCCTGAAGAGAAAAGTTTGGATAACAATCCCTAATTCTTTTCTCCTACAGTCAAGACTCTTCAGTCTCTTTCTAAACCAATTTATTTCCCTCTACTTTTATTTTTACTATAATATCCTCCTAGCTCACTTTCTCAATGCAGTGTTTTTGTTTTCTTTAGAAATAAGCTTTTTTTCCTGCATAATAGGGTTTCTGGATCCTAGCAGGTGAATAAAAAAGAAGTCTGCTTCTACTGCACATGAAACTTGTTTCTGATAATCTATGCTAATGATTTATGACTTAAGAGGCACTTACAAAAGTTAAAAATCAACAGAAGCAAAAAGAAAATTTTAAAACACAACTATTATAATATTGCAGGGCATCAAAAGTTAAATTTGGACTCTGCAGACTCCAGTGGAGTCTAATGTTATGTCTAAAATGACATGTGCAATATGATCTGTATTATATTCTAACTGCTTCAAAAGTTGAAAACTGTACAGCCCAAGATCACTTTTAGTCAATAATACTTTTCAAAATTTAATTTTGAAATCATCCAGGCTCATTCAAATACAGAGGGAAAAGTCTACACATTCTTTCATTACAGTTTTTCTATACCTTCAAAATAAAGTAAAAGTTCTGAAAACATTCAGTTCAGAGAATGATTCTGGTAGACAATCCTTTACCCTCAACATTCACTTACATGAACACTGGGACAATTCCTTTTATTGACAGAGTGGAATTTGCATCACAACAGAAACAACAGTGTAGGACTCTGCTGAGCTCTGACAGATACAGAGAACAGCTACTTGGGAAGCACTGTTTGGACACTAACACCAGACAGTTTCTGAGACAGCCGCATCTGGGAAGCACACGGCCTGGGATGCATCCTGAGCCTTGTCAACACAACTACCCTGTGGGGTTGGTCCTAGCACATGTAGTACTTTACAAATGGGAAGTCTAAGCACCAGAGAAGTCAAACAACTTGGCTAAAAACATCCATAATTGCCAATACACTGTCCATGGTTCCATCATGCTTCTTTTTCAAAGTGCTGAGAGAGTCAACACATAGCCAGAATCTAAAATGTAGAGAATCTTGGTTTCATACAAAGTAGCAAAAAAGGGCAGTTTTATTAGAAATCTTAGCATTACATAACAATAAGAATTAATGCTAACTAGTCTCTTTTTCTATTTTTTCCAAGCACAGGCCTACTTAAGAATAATAAAACCAGGGGGATTTAGCTCAGTGGCGCCATGCCTGCCTCGCAAGTGCAAGGTTCTGAGTTCGATCTCCAGTACCACAAGAATAATAAAACCCTAAAACTCACTTTTCAACATATGTGTGAAGTGTATATGTATGTATGTGTGACCCACACATGGTGGGTGACCAAATATATGAATAATGTTTTTAAATTTTATTATAGTATATATCTCTATCTTGATATCAAGTTGTAGTAATATTCAATTTTAAAAAGGATTTTATTTAGCAAACATGGAAAAACAAAAATGTTCTTCAAATAACACACATTTACCTCATCCCTACAAAAAATATTTCTCCTTCACAAAGAATCTGCGATCCTGAGATATAAAGGAGCAAGAGGGAATAGTCAGGGAAATACTATACTCAACTGCTAAAATCCTAAAATTGTCCATTAACATTTTCAACATCTAATACACTAAACAACATTCATCTTCTTTCATTTTCAATAAAATAAAGACAGAGTCAGTAAATCAAATTAAAGATGGTTTATTTTACTGCATAGTTTCAAAAAAAGCAAGGGTAATTTTTCAATTGATTCTGTTACCCTGACAGGAGTAAGAGAATATAAAATTGAAATAAACCACCATTTCTCATAGTGCTGTTCCACAGAACAGTAGTCGCATGGAAATCTTCCAAAGTCTTTGTTTTAAAAGGTTCTATAATCTCAGAATGTGGAAAATAATGTGTACTATCAAGAGCTTTTCACATTAAAAAAAATCTAGCATTGTCCAAATTTAAGTGATTTAGGATGAAATCCTTTTTCACCCAAGTTTTAATGTCATCAGAAACTAAACTTCTTCCATGTGTTCTGGCTGATGCTGATCTGGATCAATTCCTCCTAAACATATGGGCCATTTCTTCACAACTTCTAATCTACTTTAAACTTCAAAATCAAATTCACTCTTCAGCTCCATTTAAAAAGCAGGTATATATAATCACCACAAAGCTTTTCTCACAAGAGCACAAACTCAAAACACATTATTACAAAAGAAAAGCATGAAAATTAAATGACAAATTACCAGGAACTTACAAAATACAACTTCTCTAAGCCAGTTATCTCTTACCTGAGCACTACTGGCCTAGCCTGCTGCCTGATTTACTCGACACAACTCTCATATCTGACAGTCTACACGTCACAGCAGAACAATCCTCTTACAGTACAAATGACAATATGCTCTTCTCTCTTCACAAACACCCAATAACCCTCACCCTCATTCCACTCTGGCAAGTGAAAACTCCCCAAAGTGCCAGATCTGACACTGACACCAACACTGCAACCTTCGCCTCGCCCCCATCCTCTCCTCACACCTGTGACCTCACTGGCTCCTACTGCCCCCAAGTCACTCTCCCCCACACAGTCGTCTTCACAGCACTCCTCACACGTGCCGGGCATGCTCTCTCCAGGGCCTCATTATCTGGGTTGCTCTGTCAGGTAATCAAGGGGCTCACACACTTACTTCCTTGAAGTCTATGCTTAAATATCACTTTCCACTCATTTGACCCCACAATGTCACTGTCTATATGGTTAATTCTGTGTAGTCTCTAATGTTTTCCTTAGCACTGGCTAAACACATAATTGAGTTCATGGTTTTTTCATTTTTTTGTGATGTGACTGTAGCAGTCTCATATTTGAAAATTAAGAAGAAACAACTGTTTTGCAAACGGCTAAATATGCAGGCCCAAAACATGAAGGTTTAACTGCCACATTCACTCAGGACAGTTCCTATAAAACTAGACTTCTGATGCTGGGCTTCCTCAAAGGTCATCATCCTCATCCAGCACAGCAGTGGTCTGAGTAACCTCTAAATCATGGTCAGACTGCACTGCCAAGGCTGGATCCATGACGACCTCTGGTAAGGCAAGAATGAGCATGGCAACAAAATCCAAGTTCTGGTCTCTGATGAGCTTTCTGGCAAGCCAGAAGAGGGGCTTCTCAAAGTTGCAGTTACTTTTGGCAGAAATATCATAGTACTGAAGATTCTTCTTTCGGTGAAAGACAACAGATTTTGCCTTCACTTGCCTGTCCTTAACGTCCACTTTGTTGCCACACAACACAGTTGGGATGTTCTCACACACTCACACTAGATCTCTATGCCAGTTAGGCATGTTCTTGAAGATAGCTGTTGATGTCATGTCAAACATGGTAATGTCACATTAAGGCTGGATGTAGGAGCTGTTGAGCAGCCCAATGAACTTCTCCTGGATGGCCGTGTCCCACACATTGAACTTGATGGGACCCTGGCTGGTGTGTTGCACAAGCAGGTGCAACTCCACACCCAGCTTGGCCATGTACTTCTTCCTGAACTCGCCCATCACATGGCCCTTTGAGAACGTGGTCTTCCTGGTGCTGCCATTGCCCAATAGCACAAGCTCGAACTGGACCTCTGGCTCCCCCTTTGCAGCCATCTCGACCTGAGTTAATGTTTTGTGGGGTTATTTTTTATAGTCTTGTACTTAACATTGAAATATAAACTCCATGAGAAAAGGATTTTATTTCCTTTGCTCACTGTTAATGACTTCCAACATCTGGCACACAGTGTACATTCGATAAATACTACTGCATGATGAAACATAACGGAACAGAAATAATTATTACTTTACTTCCAAATCAGCTGAAAAGAAAAAAAAATCATCCTAAAAACAAACAATCCTATAGTAATCTTTGGAGATAAGCAAAAATATAATTCATACTGAATTTAACATTACTACTCAAATTACAGTTCAGCTATAACAAGCTTTTTGTATCTACTCTGACCAAGAAAATGTAAGCCATAGTTTATGCTCAGTATATGTGAGTATAATATACACTTGAAGCAATATTATTGATGGTTTTTCCATTTCTACAATTCACAGATCAAATTCTACTTTAACTTAAACATGGCATCAAGCTTACAATACTCAAGAGACTATCTAGTAAACTAAAGTCAAACCCTCTGAATTTGCCCACCTTCAATCTTTTTGTTTTTGGTACCAGGGATCAAATTCGGGACCCTGCGCTTGCAAGGCAGGCAACAGAACCACTTAGCTAAATCCCTGGCCCCCCACCTTCAATCTTAACATATACAGTGGCCTTGGAAATGTCCATAAGATAAATGAATCCTAAAAGAATCCATGAAACCAAATGAACCTTAAAGGTAAAGTCTAAGAAGGTCACTCAGTAAGGGGATATTCTACATCCAAGGTTGTTTAAGTCAAAGGGATTTACCTTTGTAAGATATAAAAATTTCAAAAGTTATTTTATACATTAATTCTTGTACATGTATTCCAAGGATGACAAATCAGTATTACCTCGACTATCATCCATCTCACCATCCCTTGAATGCTCTGACTGGATGTCTGGAGGGGTTTGAAGGACAGCCACACTATTCTGATTTATTATCTTCAATTTCAATTTTGGTTTTGACCGTTTTCTTCTTGGAACAGTAACTGTGAGGCTCTGTAACTGAGTCATCCCTGATTCGGTCAGACAAACACCATCCTGGGTGTAGGTCTTAGGTGGATCTAAAATTTTAAAAGTACCAAGAATACAAATTTAAATTTCCATTTAAAATTTGACTGGTAAATTAATTATTGCTAATACACAATACATATGTGAAAGGAATGTAAGTGCAGTTCCATGGAACAACTATCTATGAAACATGTGAATAACATAATGATGCCTAATTAGAGCCGAGAATAACTGGCCAAGGTTTTCTGGACTTTGGGCAAAAGACTGGATGTTTTTGGGTTTTTTGTTTGTTTGTTTTGTGGAACTGGGAACTGGGGATCAAACTCAGGACTTTGCACTTGCCAGGCAGGCAGCTGGCACCACTGAGCTAAATTTCCAGTCCCAAGACTGCATGTTTTTAAAAACTTGTCTTCCTGTCATGTCTATTTTTGTGCATCTTAAGGAAGGATTTAGACAGAAAGCACTGAAGCTTAAAGCAATTCATTAGTCATTCAACTATGAACCTTTTCTTAGAAAACAACAAAAGGTAAGGATGAATTAATGTAAAAGAAGCAAGAATATTCCAGAAAGCCAGTTGAAAACCAGTGTCAGTATACTTGCTTACAAGGGGTAAGTACATATAAATGCTGCACACTGAATTTTTAATGTACAAAACTGTCATTCATTAGAACTCCTATAACATCCTAATGTTTTTCTATTAGATGTTACCAAATACATGTAGTCAGAACAATGACTATAAAAGCATATTAATCACCATTCTAGGCTGTTATACAAAAAACAGGAAGAGACTAAAGTACAGTACTGTACTTCTAAAGGAATTTGTTAGCAAGGCCTTCTTTTCTGCAAATAAGTTCACAAAGTGGGGTATCAATGAAGTGGAAGAAAATATGGCATGAACAATTTTTGAAGAGCTGCTGATTTTCACTGGCTATTTGCTAAAATTTATAGGAATACTGTCCAAGTAAAACTAGACAAGATGAACATTTTAGATTTCACCTATAAAAATTATTAACATCAGGGAATTTACAATAAACACCCATATGACTAGGCATGTTTTATATGTGGCAAAAACTGACCATTCATAATGCTTTCTCTAAAGAACAATTGAGTAAAGCATTTCAGATTTTACCTAGCTCTTTTACTTTTGTGACGATTTGTGCTACAAGTGAAGATTCACAGCAGTCTGAGGAAGGCACTGGAATGAAAATAACTCAGGTAAATTTTTCAGGAAAAAATTATTAAAGACATATATGATTAAACTTTCAGTTTCAGTACTCACTGAAATAAGTGCTCAAATACTAAATAGTATTAAACATAGTTTTTAAAAGAAGAATAAAAATCAGGAGTAGAAGGCAAAGGAACTATACAAATCAAGGAGGAAAAACTGGCAAAGAAAGAAGCAGTGTATTGGATTTCTACATATTGCTAATAACAAGATGGCATGTTCCTTATAAACAAAACTGTATTTTACATCTAAAATGTGTATTCCATTTTCTTTTTGTAAATTACTTTAATAAAGTTGGGATCATCCAAATTATAACAAAATAACCCATTTTTCACAAAATCCTTATCCAAGTAAGATTCACAAAGATAAGAAGCAGGATTGAGCCCACTCATTGGTTGTGGACAGGATGGTGCACGAGCATTGTAGGATGGCACAGACTCATAGTTTAAGTCATTCTTACCATGTGATGCAGGCATATAGGGTCTGCACATGCTACAATCAAAACCCATGTCTGCTACATTTTCCACTTCCTCCTCTGTATTTAAGTTTTGACAAACTGCATGCATCCATCTAAAGAGATGATATTTGTACATTTTAAAAAACTGAATATACTGAGAAGCGTTTCCTTTTAAAAACTCTAACAGGAATTAATAGCTTCAAACTTAAAAGCCCGAAGCCTCAACGCCCCCCGGCTCTACTGTCTACTCCATAGAACTATTCCCATTTGACCTTCTAGGACTTCCATAGGGCTAGAAAGAGTAAGAACAAGGACTAGGGAGGAAGCAAGTACACGTTACTTAAGGAGGACATGATAATTATTTTTGATCATGTATTAAATGTGTATCACAGCAATGAAGCTAGTCAAGGCAAGTAGGAACAAATTTTAAAAACTACAAATGCCGCAGTATGTGCTCTATGTGCTGCCTATAACTTGAAGCAGACAGAACTTTTGCTTCTTTTTTTTTTGAGATAGGGTCTCACTGTGTAGTTCAAGTTGGTCTTGAACTCACTATGTAGCCGAGGCTGGCCTTGAACCTGTCACAGCCTCCCGAGTGCTGGGATTACAGGTGTTTGCCACCACACCTGGCTGGATATAACTCTTGTAAAGTGATGTTGAACAGTTATTAGGAAATAAAGTGACAGGTATCTTGCTTTGGAACACAGAGTTTGTAGGCAGAATTGTAGGAATACATTACTAATATGAAATAACACTATTAATATTATGTGTACACTGCTTAATTGCTAATAGGGCACAGTAATGCACCAACACAATCAAAGAAAACATCCTTGATTTTGACGCTGCACACACATTACTACTAGGAAGAACAAGAGGCAACATCTAAAACCTAGATATCTAATATCAGAGCTTTAAGAAATAGAATGTGGGATCATTTTTAAAATATAATAAAAGATTCAAAAGCCCTCTGTAAGAAAATGCATGTATACAAGCAATAATTTTGCATCTAATTCCAGAAGATTCATAAATCTTCAAACAGCCTCTAGTTAAAAATCTTTATAACTGTGAGTTTAAAACAAGAAATCACATCGAAGTTTCTACTTGACTAAAAATCTTAAAAGCAACAGGTTTTATTCCTAAACTTTATAATCAGAAGGTTATATTCTAAGTTCCTTTGACTATATTTGCAGTTTAAGAAAAAAAGGCTTGTAAAAAATTGTAGAGGCAGGTACAGATACAATACCTATCACATTGTCTACACTGCAGAATCAGATCATCTTCTCTGTAGTTTCGATAGCAGATCGGGCAGGCAGACAGGCTGGCGCAAGGAGCACACTGTGTGTAGTTGTTTTGCCATTCACACCTCAGACCTGCAGATGTTGCTCCACAGTGTCTACACCAAACACACCTGAAATCCAAGCCCCATCCCCAAAGTGTCAGTTTAATTTACTCATTCAGTTACTGTAATTCTAGAAGCTACACTTAAAAAGATTAAAAGGAAATCATTTACTGTGTATGTGAAATTTTCTGGCTGGTAATAGGCATCATAGTATATGTGTATTATGTAGTTAAAACACACATGGCTAATTTTTAAAAACTAAAGTGATAGAAGAAAGTTCTGGACTTGGAAGACTGACAAAATAACAAAGGCTAGAATACCATTTGCATTTCCAGCCTCCTTTAGGAACAGTTTGCAGTGGAGGGTCTAGGCAGTAGGTGTGATAACTTATGTCACAGTCATCACACAGCAGGAGTCTCCCGGGGTCAGTCGCCTTCCCACAGGCTTCACATACTGTGCACTCCAGACACCTCCAGCCTTTGCTAAGAACCACTTTAGTGATCTGCAAAAGAAACAACTGATCCATGTGATTTATATACTGAGACTTCATTTTGCTTAAGTTAATATGGTATATATGTAACTAGAAGCAAAAAAGGCAAGCAACAACATTAGTGGCCCCAATACTGGGTAAGGCACACACATGTGCTTTCAGGAGCCCACTTGTTTCAGCAGAGTAACTGAAAACAGCATATATTTCAATGTCATTTTTAGTCCACATAACTACCCTCCACTGTAGGTAACATTCTGTAAATAAATACTATATTTTTTTACATGTGGTGAGTGGATTTTAAGTAAGTCAAGTAAGCGGCCTCATTACTTGATACAGGATTTGGCAGTACATCAACGAAAGCTACAATCTAAGACACTTGCATGAATTCCGTGCTTTTGAAACTTGGGTACATAGCACAAGAACTTACCTATTATAATTCACAGGAACAACTAAAACAAAATAAAAACAAAAAGCTCAATATAAAAGGAGATCTTTGGGACATTTTAGGTCTTGGACAAGTTTCAAGCTATGAAAGCTAGGACTTCTGAAGTTCACCTTCACTCTTCTATTTATGTTCCTCTGTCTCAAAGATCTGAGTTAGCAAAATTTAAAAAATCTCTATATTCCTGATCAACTCCTCAAAGAGGCCACATCTTATGAATTTGGAACTAACTCCTTAAAGACCTCAAAAGACTAAAGTCACAATGAAATAAAAAGCAAAGTGAAGAGTAGAAACTCAGATCATGGAGGAGTAAGAAAGCCTAAAAACCACCAGAAAGGAAAATAAAAGAGCTGAATTCAAAAGAACAGCTATCAGAATAGCATCAAGCTTCCCTACAACCTCGGGCACCAGAATAGACTTGGTTTCCAAATTCTACAAGAAAACACTTTTGAAAGCACAATTTTTAATCTAGGTAAACAAGCAACACTTGAGAAGCAGAATACTGTTTAGACAAACAGCAAAGTCAAAATTCAGCTCCTGCATCCTCTTCATGAAGTTATCAAGAGATATGTGGAACAGAATGGAGATGTATACAAAAAAAAGGAAGATGAGGGGTGCAATGAATTTGAGGACAGAAGTCTGAGAAAGATTAAGGTTAAGAGACATCTAGAAGCTGCTGGCACAGATCACAACAGGGTGATGTAAGATACAAGAAAAGGAGAGCATTTGCCCAGGAAAACAGGTCCTTCAACAAATATTCTGATGCAATGAAGCTTTTATAGTAGATAAACACAACAAAATAAGAATGGAGTCACTAATGATTATTTTCTTCCTGCTATTAAAAATTCCAAGAAAAACAAAAGTCACAGGACACTAGTTGGATCTGCAGTCAACATTCAGTGATTCAAACCAACTATGCAGTTACACAACTATATGAATGATTATTTTCTTCTTGCTATTAATAATTCCAGGAAAAGTAACAGACATGGTACACTAGTGACATCTGCAGTGAACATTTACTGAGTCAAAACCAACACTTAATTAAATTATGCAGCAACAAACTACACTGGAAGGGTGTTGGAGAAAGGCATGGGGTGCATGGTGAGAACTAAAGCAGAAACTGTTTATGCAAAGCAGAAGTGAACAATTCTAACAATGGTAAAGCAGTGATACCAGCTATTATGAAGAGTTGCAGAATTACCTACAAGAAGAAAGACCTGAAAATAAAAGTGGTTGCCTCAAATATGAAGCTAGAATAAGACAGAGTCAACGTAAGACTTTTGATTTTTTATTTTTAAACATACATCTTTACTGCTTTGATTAACTTACTAACTTTTAAAATAAGTTTTATGTAACCAGGTCATAATCTATTATTTACCCAAATGGAAAAAACAGCCTTGGGTAGAAAGAAGAGAGGTAGATAAAGCAGTCTCCAGCAGAAGTTTTCTGTGAACAGGGAGATAGTAAACACATTAGGTTTTGCGGCCCATGTGGTCTATTGGGAATGTACAATTCTGCCTCTGTTGAACTAAACCACTGTGGATATGTGTAAATGCAAGATCACTGTTATGCACCAATATAAGTTTGAGTACAAGACCAGGAAGTGGGCCAGATGTAGCATGTGGACTGCAGAGTGCCAATCCCTGGCTCAGAAGAACCAATAAAGTGGGAAACACCAAATTCTTGGGGTAGAATTTTTAAAATACATATCTTCATTCCTGTTTTCTTATTACAGAGAAACCTGCCCCCATGGATCTTTACAACTAGATTCTCAGGTTATTCCATTTATTTTCACTCTCCACGGTACTACATTGGGTTTCTATCCCCACAACCAATGAAATAGCTCCAGCCAGCCAAGACATCCTGACTTCCAAATCCAACATTTTAGGATATTGCCTGCATGTTACTTTACCTCTCTGGAGTACTTCAACATCTAAACAACTTCTCTGTCTTTAAGACTCCCTCTTATTCTAGAAAATACTGTTCTACTCTTAATTCATTTTTTCCTTTTTGGAACTGGTTTAATTTGGGGAGGACTGAACCTAGGACCTTTGCAATGAGCTACACCTTCCAGCCCTTTTATAATGTGTGTATTTTGAAACAGGGTCACGTTAAGATATTAAGTTATAGAGGATGGACTTGAACTTGTGATCCTCTTGGCTCGGCCTCCTAAAACACTGGGATAACAGGCATGAGCCACCCAGCCCAGCCTGGCTTAATCTTAGTTTTACAAAGTTCCTTGAGTTCCATCTACAATACAGTGTCTAAAGTTGTGGCAGATGTGTTTTATAATCTACAATACATATCGACTTTCACTATAATTAAGTGGGACCAGTCCTTTTTTTCCATAAGATATCAGAAAACTGGGCAAAATTCATAAAACGACTGTTTTCAGATACTGGAGATCATGAAGTAAAGGACTATGACCTCTGAGAGGATGGAAATGTCTGAGTCCTGTGAAAAAGCGTCTACAGATACCTTCCAGAAAGTTGCCAGGGAAGGAGAACTCCAGTATAAAGGCCTCACTGAGTTGAGAAGATATGACAGAGTTCACAAAGGCTAAGACAGCTGGAATTCACAGTACACAGTCCAGGAAGAGAAGTGATCAATAAGAGCTCCAGAAATCCACAAAGGAATCATCTGAAGTCCCTGGCTGAATCCCAAGTTGCATATCTACAAGTCAGCACAAAGATCTAGAAAGACTACCTACCTAGGATGTGCAAGCTGAACAATTACCAGAGCTCTTACATGGCTGGAAGACATGCAGATCTCTACTGGTCAGAGTGGGAAAACACTGGTGAGCAGAAGGTAGGATCCAGTAGAAACCCGGAAAGGCCATGGACAAAGTATAAGGCAAACTAGTGCTAAAACAGCAGTCCTTAAGGGTAGTCTGAGGGTCAAAACCATTTTCATTCTACTCCTAAGAAATCATGTATCATTTGCACAGATTCACTCACAATTGTATGGTGGTCTTTTCAGAGGCTACATGATGTCAACATTGTTGTCATACAAATTATGCATCTATATTCTTGTTATAAAATGTACCATTTTATCTTCTAAAATGGTTAAATATTCAATACTCACAATCCTCCAAACAAAAATTCATTATATAATTTTGGACAGTGTTACACTTTAAGACCATAAAGTGCAACCAGTCATGCACATCTGTAATCCCAGCACTTGGGAGGCTGAGGCAGGAGGATTGCCGTGAGTTCAAGGCCATCCTAGGCTACATAGTAAGTTCAAGGCCAGTCTGAACTGCATAGTAATACCCTGTGTCCCTCTCCCACCAAAAGGGCTGGGGATGTAGCTCAGTGGCACCATGCTTGCCTGACAAGCGTACGGTCCTCAGTTCGATCCCCGGTACCAAGAAAAAAAAAAAAAAAGACAACCATAAACTCTATGAATATCCAGCTTAGAATGAAGGTTCTCTAGACCTATCCAAGAAAGACTAAAAAGGAGCTTTAAAAAGGCCAACTTTTTTGACAAATAACTGCCTACCACCACAAAAACTAAGCTAGACAATTCATATACTACTAGTATGCTTGTGGATATTCTGTATTTCTCAATCAATAAGGCTATAGCATTTTGTACTGGCCAGAATAGAGTCAGTGGTACTAAAGGAAACACATGCAGTTAGTGAAACAGGAATTTAAATTCTAGCTCTGCCAGTAGCTAGTTATTGAACAGTGCACTAACTGGTCTTAACTTATATAAGCTTCACTCAGTTTACCTGTAAAAGGGGAATTAGCTATCTGATGTGTTATAAAAAAAAATGCACAAAGCAGGAGCCTTTTTAAACATTAATTTCCTTCCTAAAACTGTTACCAATTTTAGTTAACAAAGGCTGTTCATATTAAGGCATCAGTTAGGCTCGTGGAACTTGTATTCTCATCTTAAAATTTCCTTAGATCAGAAATATATGTATTCTAGAATCCAATTACAGAGAATTCAGAATACAAAGAACAATGTTTTTCTATGCACATATAATTCTCTTTTGAAAATGGCTTTACGTAATCTATGTTTTGGGTTTTTTAGTCAACATACTGTGAGGAACAAATTTTTAAGTAAATTAACTGCACTAGTGTTCTATTTTGATAGATTAATTGTAATTTTTCACTTTGATTCTAACTTTATGAAAGTGTGTACTACCTTAGGAAAGAAATAGTGTAATTTTCAGCAAGGAATTCTCAGGGAATACAAGTTGATTTGTTTGCTACACTGACATCCTGGGTAGATAATGATATAATGTGATGGTGTTTGAAAGGCAAGAGAGAAGAGACAAAGATGACTTGTAAGTTCAGGGTTATTCGGGACCAAAAAGCTAAAGTTTGTGCTTATACCACACAGCATGGCAGCACCAGAAAAGTTAGTTGTGGAGTACACAGCAGGACATCTGCCCTATAGTGATGTCATTCCATACCGAAGTTCAGACACCATGTTACTTTATTTAAATATACAGGTTTTATTAAAACTAAGGTCTTATCAAGAAAACAAAAACCCGAGTTCAACAACTGAAGTACTACTTAAGACATATACATATTTATATAACTTTAAAATCAAGTGCTCAATTACCATGTAAAAGGTTCCCCACTACATCCTTAACCTGAAAACTTAAAGCTCAGCACTGCAGGCTCTCAATTATTATGGAAGTGCATTAAACATGACCTTTGTTTCAGCTATAAGCAGAAACAAATGAGTTCTAAGCACTGTTTTATAAACTAAATGCATATATTTTTGTTTTACTTTTTTAAAAGAATGGTAGGATAATTGATAAAATTTAAGACCAGAGATTTTTTTCTTTTCTTTTCTGGGTTTTTTTTTTTTTTTTGAGACAGTGTCTCACTGTGTAATTCAGGCTGGACTCGAATTCGTGGTGATTCTGCCTCGGCCTCACAAGGGCTAGGATTACAGGTGTGCATTACCACTCCTGTAGAGAAATTAATTTCTTTCCTTTTTTTTTTTGGTACCGAGAGTCAAACTCGGGTCCTTGTGCTTGCAAGGCAGGCGGTGGAACCACTGAGCTAAATCCCAGGCCCAAGAAGTTAATTTGAGTTAACCTATAGAAGCAATATTTAAAGTACTTAAATACTGTCACCCATGTGTAATAAATCATTAAGAACAGCTGATTAACTAGGTAGATCACACGACTATTCAATTCAAAGTAAAGCTCAGTATGCTTTTGTTAACTCATTTAATTTAAGCATATTTACCTTAATACTGACACAGTACGGATGGTAACACTGACCACACTGGGAACAGGCAAGTAATCTTCCTTCTGCTCCTTGGCCAAAACTGCCACATACCACACACATATCCTGGAATTAAGAACACATGAACCTATTTTGAATTGGAGATTAAAGTAAGAATATAAAATTCTTAATTTTAAAATACTTTCTTGACTAATATAGTTCTCTAGTCAAATTATATGATATCTGTCCATATGCAGAAAGTAGAAATAGACAAGGAAGAATTCAAAAGTGGAAGATTAAATTCAAACCTGGTGCAAAGTGAACCTGTCACTACTAGAAAACAACACAACTGTATTGTGCATAGAGTTTTCTTCCTCATCCTTATTTGAAGAAATATCTGCTGCAGACACCTACAAAAAGCAAAATACGAATATTTCTTACTTATATTACATTTAACTGGAAAGTTTCAAAATATATCCAAAATACAACTTTTTGCCAACATCTACACTAATAATACCAAATTCTATTACTAGTGCTAAGATACTATGTAAAACTATAAATCATTCTACTTTTTATTCATTTAGTTGTCTCTTTAAATTTACAAGGGAGAGGAGGATAGCTGACAGGAAAACTTCTTCTAGAAACCCTATTAGCTGGGTGTGGTGGCGCATGTCTGTGATCCCAGCACTTGGAAGGCTGAGGCACAAGGATTGCCTTGAGGGCTGGGGTTTTATCTTGGTGGTTTCACCACCTACTCCGCAAGCGCAAGGACCTGAGTTTGATCCCTGGTACTAAAAAAAAAAAAAAGAAGGATCGCCTTGAGTTTGAGGTCAGCCTTGAGTTTGAGGTCAGCCTGGTGTACACAGTGAATTCAAGGTCAGCCTGAACTACACAGTGACGCTGTGTTTCAAAAAACCAAACATTTGTCCAGAATATGTAAAGAATGCTCAAAACTCAAGAAATTAAAAAGTACCCAAACTTCATGGACTAAACATTTGAAGAGTGACTATATCAAGTAACAAATAAACAAATATATATATATATATATATATATTAAAAATGGACATCCTTAGGGAATATAAATGAAATACTATTACATCCTTATCAGAATGGCTAACATTAAGAATGACCATATCCAATGTTGCTAAACATGTGGAGGAACCGGGAATCTCAAGCACACTTATTGTGAATATAAAATGGTACAATCAAAATGTAAAACAGGCTTTTCCATAAAAGTTAATCACACATCTATCATACCACTCAATTTACTCCTAGATATTTGCTGGGAAAAAAAAGAAATCATATGTCCATATAAAAGTTCACAGATAGAATTTCATAGATGAATTTCTAATAGCCAAAAAATATAAGCAACCATAATATTTTCTTTTTTTGGTACCAGCGATTGAACTCTGGTCCTTGCGCTTGCGCAGCACGTGGCAAAATAACCATAATATTTTCCAACAGAAATTGTGGGGCATCCACAGTTCAAATACTATTCAACTACAAAGAAGAATGAACTTCTAACACATACAGCAACATAATGACTCTCAAAATATTAATGTTAAATGAGATAAATTAGACCTTAAAGAATGTATTCTATATGATTCTACTTATATGCAGCTACTGAAAATGCACACTAATCTTAGTGAAGGAAACAGATTGGCTGCTGCCTGGGATAATCAAGGTTGGGGGCAGAAGGGAAGACGGGGGGGGGGGGGGTCCTGAAGAAATGTTGGCAGCTTTTCACTATCTTAATCGTGGTGCGGTTTTTAAGGGTGTATAGAAGCCAAAACTTGTGTACTGCAAATATCTGTAGCCTTGTATTAATTTTTCAATAGGCCTTGTTTTACTTTTATTTAAAAAGGGCCACAACCCACATTACTCTTACTCTCAGTATAGCAGTAAAACTGAATACTTTCATCTGTCTCTTGAATTTAACACTTAGAGATTTTGAAAAATAGTATTTCCATGTAATAAAATAGTAAAGTCACTACATAAAAATATTTGTCAAGGAGCCGGGGATTTAGCTCAGTGGTTCCACTGCCTGCCTGGCAAGTGCAAGGTCCTGAGTTCGATCCCCGGTACACCCCCCCCCAAAATTGTCAATATTTATCAAATACATAAAGAATGTGTGATAATACAGAGTAAATATCAATCTTACAATAAGATATTCACTGAATCTTTAACATTTTTAGAATCCATATTAATTTGCAACATTTCTAGTTTCTCTTCTTTAAACCTTAATAACAAACATAACTAAAATTAAAAAATTAAAATGTCAATGTAAAAAAATTTTTAAAAACAGATCCAAGGCGTAACAAGAGTTTGATTTTTTCCAAATAAAACAAGTATAATACATACATACCAGCTCTCGGGGGAAGGTTGGTATAAAAAGATAAGAGTTAAAAAGGAAAGTAAGAGAAAGCAGAAAATTTAATGAACAAAAACTTGATCAGAGACCGATTAAAATAACAAAAAAACAGAGATAGAGCAAAATTTAAAACAATCAGCCTATTGATGTGACTCTTCACACAGAAATATCTTACTACACATAAGATTCTCATCATTAACTGACATTTAAAGATCATAGCAAATATAAATAAACCCTTACCCCAGATAACACAACAGCTCCAATTCCACTTTTTAGTTTGGATCTGCCTCTGCCACCTCGTCCTGACAGCCCTGCACCTCGAGGTCTCCGCTTTCCTGGAAATCCAGAGCCACGGCCCTATGTAATAGATGGGGGCAGTCAGCACTCTATAAAAGCCCAGCAGTTTTAAACCCAAATGCCAATGGGATAAAACATTTTATTAAATGTCAACACAAATGAACACTTCTCTCTTTTATTCTGATTAGATGATGCATAACAGGAGACCAAGCTTTTTATATGTATCTTTATGCACTCTACAACTTAAAATATAAATATACAGTATGTATAACCTCTGAATTAAATAATGCACTCATCTTTGTGAATGTTCTTCATCAGCAGGCCTTGGCACTATTTTTCTAATAGCCACACCTAATTTAGATATTTCAATGTGCAACAAACTGTATTCAATATAAAGCCAATATAAGGAAGAACTCTTACTAATTGGTTGCTCAGGGATTACTGTAATAGCTGACATTTACTGAATACTTACTATGTACTGATCTAAGCACTTGTTACTCTCAGCAGACCCATAGAATATAGGTAGATGCTGTTTCATTATCCCTATTCTAGAGATGAATGTACTGAGGGATAACAAGTTTAAGTAGTTTGTCCAAGGTTATTGAGCTCGCAAGTCTGACTCCAGTCTCTGCTTTTTAACTTCTATTCTGTGCTGTTACATTGCATCAGTTAATTTTTGCTAGTATAAAACAGAATGAGGAAGGGTCCTGTTGTTAAAAGTCAATTTCATCTATTAACAAACAGTAGCCTTATAAACTAAACATTCCTGCCTCATTCTACCACAGTATTTAGAGAAAAAAATTATAGGCAAAATGACAAAAACCATAAAACCCTTGCTTTAAATAAACTGGATAATAAAATACTTGAAATAGGAATAATTTATCTGACTTTTTATCCAACACAAGAAAAAAAACCTTAAGGGGAAACGTTTTAAATTCCCTGACATTTTTAAGATGTAAGTACAAACAGGTTTTGAGTTTTGTTTTTCTCTCCTTTTCTTTACACCCAGACTTATGTATTCTTCTGAGGGGAGGCATGGCACAAGTAAACCCATTATATATTTAAAATCATTGAATAATCAGGAAAATAAATGCTTCCTCTAACAAACTAAATAAGATGTTGTATCTTCAACTGATGCCATTTATCAGAGTTTGAGAAGGGAACTTATCCCTATTTAGCAGAATAGTTTCCAGGTCAAAAATGTATGGCTACACTGTGCTAAGAAGAATGAAAGGGAAGGGGGACCCTTGCATCCCTGTTCAGTTTTCAAAAGGTCTCTCCTTGTCTCCTCTCACCCTGTTCTCCTTTAAGTCCTTTGAGAGGTCTGTCAGCTTTTTAGAACAAGCGACAGACTGAAAAAGTTGTTTTATTTTCTTTTGTTAATTTTTAAAAAGGTATAAAATATTTTTTGAAGTTAAATAATTAAAAATCAAGCCTATAATAATCTCTCAATTTGCCCTAATATGCAATGATACAGATATAATTAAGAGAAGGCGGGTGGTATTTCCTATAAAACCATCAAATTAGTCACCTTTTATACTCTTAAAACAAGTATACGTTATTAAAAAATATTAAAACAAATATTTACAGCCTTATTCCAGAATATTACATATAGAATATGATGACAAGATATATTCTCTAGTCAACAAAGTATTTTAACTTTTGAGATGATTACTACTTTTTCACATTAATTTTTTTCCTTTCAAAATGTATTAATCTACTTACTTGTGGAACTAAGAGAATCATCCACCAATGACAAAGAAAAAGCTCTACAAGTGAGAGGTTAATACGCACAATGAATTATGCTGCAATTCTGATATTGTTCTTCCACTAATAGTTTTTTTTCTTCTCCAGGAAACATTTTATTTTATATCATGCATGAGGAAGTCCTTAATTACCTTTTAGTCTATGTGACAAGGATTTTCCCTCATAGAAACATAGAAACATTGGTAATAATAACAAAGAAATCAACCTTAAAAGTAGGTATTAAAATTTTACACTTGTAAAATTGCGATTTAACTTCCTCCTAGTCAAGATCTCTAAATCAAGCATGTTACTTCTTTACACTAAAATTTTGAGATTAAAAAAGTAGCTCTGGAAACAATCTACAAAGGTTTACTTCTTAACATCCAATAGGACAAAACAAATCAGAAAGAAATGATACATGAATGTAAATGCAATTTTATTTACCACTTTGATGCTCCAAATGGCACTGCCAGGAAGCTGCCTGGGTTTAAAAATTTCCCGACCTTCTGAAATGTCTGGGGACCAGGAAGGTGGGCTCACTGTATTATGAGTACTCCAAGCCCCCTAGGATATGGCAGGTGAGAAAATAGATGTATAAAACTCAGCAACATAAAAGGTCAAAGCCAGCAACTAAGGAATTTTCGAACAGCAAAAACAAATGCAAATGTATGGAAATTTAGGACAAACTGCTTTAAGAAAGGAAAAATAAGCTTATCACAATGACTTTATATTTAAATGTTTGCAGTTACAATTTACACATTTTATTCTGGTTGAAACATCATGACAATAAAACAAATTAAAAATTAAGGTTTCCATGACATCAACATTGACTCATGAACTGCAATTATAGTACCAAAAAAATAAAACTCAGTCACAATCCAAGAATTAACCCTAGAAGAAACTATTTAGGGATTTTTTTTCTTCTCAAGCATAACTGTGCTTGCTAGAAAGGAGAAATAGATAACCGTATATGCCAGTATTATAAACAACTGAATCAGTAGGCCAAAAACCATTATAAAAAACCTAAGTTATCAATAAATGCACACACTTCAAACTGTGGAAAATTTGTAATCTTAAAATATCATTATGATCTTAGTGATTAATTACTCTTCCCCCAGTGACCATTAGTTGTGGGTTTTGGTTTTGATTTCTGTTTTGGGAATATTTTATGGAGGTTGTACCCAAAAACTTAATTCAAAAAGTGAAGAAAAATTAAAGCACATTGTCCTAAATTTTCAAATTAAAATGCCTAAAGCACCTAATAAACTATATAAGAAATGTACCTTGTTAAAATAAAACTAAGGAATTTCCCTTCCAAGTAACTACATTCAGAAACAATCTGAACTAATCTGATGGAGATGCTAAACAACATAAAAAATGTTTACTTCATGAAGGTAAGATTTTTGAAGAAAATCACAAAACAAATGTCAAACATCAAAGAACCTATTCTGAATTAGGTAATTCAATAACACATACTAATATTTTACCAATTAAATGACCAAAAACTAAGACAAGGTATATTGTACTTACCAGATTTCTAGAATATCATTCAAACTACTAAGAATCCCATTCATTACATAAAAATACCACCAGGAATCTAACCAGCATGAGACAAGTTAATGAAATAACAGTACTATATTTGGAAACAAACTACACAAGGGAGAGACTGCTTTTAGTCCAGGGTCGTTGGAAACCTCTATGTCACCAAGAGTTCTTTCCCTGTCCTCATTTTACCCAAGCTCTCAACAGCTGGCACACAGCTCTGATGGGGTCAGTGACAGCACACCTACAGATGGATATATCAATGGCTTTAGGGTTGATCTTCCTACATCTCCCTCCACTTGAGGAGGGAGGAGTCTGGAGTCTCCCATGGCTGAAGCCCAGATCCTAAATATTATTATCTGTATCATCATCTTGGAAACTGTTGTCTCCCACATTCATACTGCTAGGTTTAATCTGTTCTAACAGCTAAAGAATTTAAGAGAGCTGAACAAAACCTACCACTATCAAATCCTATGGAAATTTTTGAAAATGCTATCTGGCAGAAATTGAATTAGAACCAAAGAACAATTATGTAATCCCAAAATTGATTAAAGTTGGTATTACCTTCTTTCTTTAGAGGTCCATTTCTCAAGTAAATTTAAAGTTATACAGGTGTTACAGGACTGCACAATAGAGAAATGGGACCAATAAAGGCACGTGGAGGGTAGGCTATTCGGGGCAAATTTCTATTAAAAGTCAAATCCTCTTGCTGGTTGTCAAAAATAATACCACTATTAAAGCTCAAGAGTACTTTTAGTTTTAAGAACAGCCAGAGAAGGTTTGGAGTCTCACAGGCAACTTTACACCTCCAAGTTCTAAGTCAAGCCTGGGTCCACAAGCTCCCAAAAATCTATATACAAAGCCAAAGTTGTTATTAAATAACAAATCTAATTTAGGGAAAGGAAAAATACTCAAGAGGCAGAACAGAAAGGAAGACAAGTGGTAAGAGAAACAGTAAACATAAGAATATCATTTGATTTCTTGGTAAATACATTCACTCATTGTGCACACTGGAGTGACGACAGCAAACATCTTAATGATTTAAGATAATTTTTTTACATAAAGAAGTCTTATTTACAAAACAGTTTAACATTAAATAAGAAATCAGAGGTGACTGTGATTTGATAAGGCACTGTAAAGGTACTGAAGCAGATGTCATCAGCTTTAGCCTTCAATAATTTCAGAACACAAACATGGTTTATGCTACCAATGGTTTTAAGCATAGCTTCAGAAGTACCACTACCAAGGAAAGTCTGGTGCTTCTTATCTGCACTTGTTTTCAGTTTGGCACTTCAGGGGGCTGTATTTTTAAAATATTTAAAACTATAGCTTCCCAGTGGTTTGGCAAAGAGCTTGTTAGACTTCAACTGGCCTGGGAATCGTCTCGAAATAAACACTCTGACTCAAAGGTGAGTCTGAAATTGATCCAACAAACTCCCAAGTGATGTCAATAAATATCCCTGGTCTCAGGCAAAAATGTCCGAGTAGCAAGAGTTTGATCTTTGTATTTTCTAGAAACATGTCTAAGCTTGCACTGAACTTTTCCTCTAGCCTTTTTCTGCTCTCTCAGAGTTAATCTGTGGTCTTCTCTACTGCAGCAAGTACACACATCTTGTATTTAATAGGCTACTGACTAGTTCTAAAAACCTGTATGATCATTAGGGAGCCTTGATGTCATCTTCACTACTACTTTGCAGTACAAATAATTAGCCGATCTGTTTCAGTACAAATATTTATTAGGCAAATTGTTTTAGGACCACCATTCCAGACTTACATATATACACTATTGGCATGTCTGCCAATGTCTCCACTTTCACAAAGTATTATCTGCATTATTTTGTAATTCAAGAAGTAAACAGTGGCATTTGCTATTTTATGTGTGTTATCATTAAATTCTAACAAAAACATATGATCTCATTTCATAGATGAGGAAAGTAAAGCATAGTTCCACAAGTAACTTGCTCAGCGCTCACAAACAATAATGGGAGGACAAAGGTTTGAATCCAAGCAACTACACTACAAAAATTTTCATGCTGCAGTAATCAATCTTTCCAAGTATCAATATTAGTAAAAGCTGGTATTTAGAATACAAAACATTTTTAAAATGTCACTTTTTTAAAAGGCACCATTTGTGTGGTGGCACATGCCTGTAATCCCAGCACTTGGGAGGCTGAGGCAGGAAGATTGCTTTGAGTTTGAGGCCAGCCTAAACTACATAATGAGACTGTCTCAAAAAAAAAAAAAGAAAAAAGCACCATTGTATTTAAAACAATGCAAGTGGAAATCACAAGTAGCATGTACCCTGCCTCTTTTATTCTTTATAACAATTTCACTGAAGGGTCCATTACACAGGTTTTACCTTTTAAGCATCCAAGAATAGATGATTAAAGCTAAAGCATGTTTACATTATATAAAGAAATGTTTCAAAATCACAACAGTTTTAATTAAATGCTAGATAATACATCTAATTTTATTATTTTAAAACAAAACAAAACCTCAAAAGAATGACAGTATTTCTTGCTAAGGGTTTTTACATTTGCAAGCCAGAAATGGCTTCTTCTGTTTAAAAGGAGAAAGAGCCAGGTGTGGGGGCACCCACCCATAACTCCAGCTCCTAGGGAGGCTGAGGAGGAGTGAGGGGAAGGTCACAAGCCAAGCCAGCCTGGGCAACTTAGCAAGGCACTGACTAAAAATAAAAACAAAACTAGGCTGGTGATGTAACTCAATGGGTGGGGTGGGGTTAGGTAGAGGAATAAAGGAAAGAAAAAAGGGAGGAAGGGAGGAAAACTTTGTTAACTGTTAACAAAACTATAAATCCTATACAGTTCATAGTTCTGGGATCTTGTTTTTCTCTCACAGCAATAGATTATGAAACGGATATACTATTTTGAAACACGCCAACTAAAATGATGTTGTAGTACACAGTATATGATTAACATTCTACAATTCATCATAAGATACTTAAATTGATGAAAAATAAGAAATCCAGGTCACAAAGTAATGGAAAAGTAGTTATGATCTAATGAAATACTATCTTTGGAAATCTATAATGAAGAAACTTCTTTATGAGAAGGTCTCAATATATATAACTCTTAGAACTTGTAGAAATTCCTAAGCTTTCAGCATATATAATGGTAACAACAAGAAATGATGGAAAAGTAAAAAAAATAAAAAATGAAGGAATTCTTAGAATTTGTTTAAAAGTTATCAAAATACAGTATCTGTATTTTTTACAAAATTTTCTTGAAATATTTACTGAAAGTCAAACTATTTCATAGAATGTTTAATGAAAATTGACGACCATGGAAGCAATTACTACATGACAGTCTCAAGTAGATTAGTCATGTTATTATCTTCGGTAAAAGATTATACAAATCTTATCAGAATACAAGATGACTTAGGTTACTATTATCTCAGAATTTCCAAATTAGAATGGATAAATACAACTGTAAAATGAAGACTTAAATATAAGTATGATTTGATATGATGGATTAAAATTTCTATACTACTTTCTACTTTTTAAAAGCATTTCTAATAGTTTTGTGTTTAATTCATTTTAAAAACCAGTAAATCAAAGAGTAACACATTCTCTAATTCAGCGCTCCACTTGCAGGGATGGGATCAAAGAATATCCTCAAGAGGCTGTATTTTAACTGGTCTAGGAAGGAGCCATTACAATGATGTTTTAAAAGTATGGATTCAGCTTCATCTGACAGCAGCCAGCTTGAAGCTTAGCTGCCATGACTGCCCCTGAGTCAACCTGGTTGGCTGTCCAAGCATGTTTCCCAGTATACCCTAAATAAGTAAACCCAGTCAGACAGTATATGAACTTTGCCACCAACACTTGGAATGTGACCCACATCTTTGAAACTGGCTTAAATGAAACAAGTACATTCCAGATTGAAGTACAGTGTAGTCATTTTTGTCCTGCCCACATGTAAGTCTCCCACTTCTGACCCAAATGGTAGGGATCTACTTGGGTCTTACTGCATCCAGGACCACACTTTTTGCTCCAGAACCAAAGCTCCTCAGGGGACTACAGTACGTGGCAGGGCCAATAACCACTTTTCTAAACCCAAGTCTCAATATTAATGTACCTATAATACTGAAAAATTCAAAAATCTTCATAAATGCGAAGTCCATAAGTGCATAAAAAGATCTGAAAGTGTCCAACTTGCTCCTTATTACTGTTCCCAGAAACTTCCTTATCCTACTACCTGTTAGATCTAATTTTTCCTTCTTATCTTTGTGAAATCTTGTGTTAGAAATGGGCAACAAAACAAAACAAAAAAACAAGAATCTCATCCTACACACATTTAAAATATTGGTCATTATTTCTATAGTCGCTAGTCTGGTTCTGAAAAATATACTTGTGATATATCTAAAATATGTCAGAAGCAAATGAGCATTGTATTTATTAAACATCTAAAATCTTACATATAAAAAGTAGAATGTAATACATTAAATTTAGTTACTAACCTCCTGGTAAATAAAAACAATCCTATATGGTTTGCCATTTAATAATGGACTTCCAACACTAGAGACAAAGATTCTTTTTGTCCAGACATCTTAAGATTCAGAAAATTCCCTAAATTTTGTTATGTATATGGGTTGTGTGTTGATAACTTAATATGCACTTAAAATTTAGTGATTTATAGTAAACTGATTTATGAGTAACTGGAGAAATCAGAATATTTCTACTTCATTCCTTAAAAAATAGTGAAAGCAAACAGTACTCCTAGCTTAGTCTTAAATCTGACTTTTTAAAAATTTCACCAATAATTCTGTAATTGACATTTGTTCTTTCTCAAACGCTTTTGTCTGATACTTCCCAGTAAAGTAGCCACTAATCACATATGGCTACTTAGTACTCCTAATATTGTTAGTCCAAATTGAGACATGTTTTAAGTGCAAAAACACAAGCAGATTTCAAACACCTAACTTTAAAAAGTCATATAAAGGGGCCAAGGATTTAGCTCAGTGGTTCCACCTCCTGCCTCCCAAGAGCAAAGTCCCGAGTTTGATCCCTGGTACCAAAAAAACAAAACAAAACAATACAAAGTCATATAAAGTATCTCATTCATTTTCATGTTGGTTAAATGCTAAATAATATTTTGAATGTGTTGGTTTAAATATGTTAAAATTAAGTTCACCTGCTTCTGTTTGACTACTAAAAATGTTTAAATTATACGAGACTTATATTTATATTGGTCAGGACTGGCTACCCTTCTACTAATTTATACCTCCAAATATTTCTCAATAATTTGATCAGTAGTTTTTACATCAAAATTTAAATCTTTCAGATTTTGTTTCTAAATAAATTACTCATTTAATTTTGAAGCTGAGAAAGGTTCATATACTAGAAAATCATTCAGATAAATATCTAGCCAGGCATGCCACTGCATGTGATAATCCTGGAATCCCAGCACTCTAGGACACTAAGGCAGGAGAATGGCAAGTCTGAACCCAACCCGACAACTTAGGGACTTAGATCCTGTCTCAAAAATAAAAAATAAAGGGCTAGGGATATAATATAGTTCCATGCAAATGCCCTAGAGTCAAATTGCAATAAATAATAATGGATGAATCAATCTATCTATCTGGCTACTATGGGACAGGATTTCATAAACCAAATTCACAGTTCTTTGAATAGTATTACCAGCATAGTAGGAACAACTAAAGAATCAATGACATTCAAAAAAATACAGAAGTATCAGTAGTGTTGTGTTGATGATCAAAAAGTACCTAGAAACCAAATTTTACATCACAATCATAGCCATGAAAATCTATCTCATTTTTGACCCAATCCCCACTGCCAAGAATTTGTAAATGAATCACTCAGTTAAACCAGAAGTATGACACAAAATACCTAGTATCAAAGGAATTCATGTAACACAATAATGGACCTTAGTATTTCCAATGTATACACACTTCTGTTATATACAGGGTAGGTATTATGGCCCCGGTGCTTCAGCAATGGAAAAGCCATCTCCAGTTCACACTCTACACAGTAACAATACTAGCAGCAAGTCTTGAAGCAGAAGCTTGTTTTGCTACATAACAAACACCAAAACTGGAAGACTAAAAGAACAAAGGAAGAAAACATGGCCTACAAATTGCTTATGAATTAGCAGTAAATGATTAAGGAGTAATAAGAAAGAGAGTGGCAGCTAGTAATACAATATTATCAAATTTGGGAACTAAAAGACAATATAGCAGAAGCAATAGCAAATATCAAGATGTGGCTTATAAGATGGGGTAAGGCAGAAAGGAAAAAAAAACATACACATATACAAATAACACAAAACAGTTTGGAATAAAAGTCAACAGAAAAAAATAGTCCAGGCTAGAGATTTTAGCACAGTGCAAGATCACTTGCCTAGTGTGCCAAAATAGTTTGATCCCCAAAACCACAAAAAATAAACAAGTCTTAATGTACTGAATCTAGTTTCTCTGTTGGAACAAGTCTCAAAAAAGGAAAGATTTCAGTAAAATTCAACAGAAAATTTGATGTAGTATCTTTAAGATCCAAACCTGGGCCGGGAATGTAGCTCAGTGGCACTGGCAAGCACAAGGTCCTGAGTTCGATCCCCAAACACACCCCCCAAAAAAAGATGCAAACCAAAAGTAAATTTGAGATTCAAGTTTCTATTGCTAAAGTTTTATCAGTTAGAACTGCAGAATTATTACATAATTATGTATTTTGTAAAAAAGACTTACCAAGGCAAAGAAAAAAACCTCTTAGTACTAAAGATATAAATATTAAAGAAAATACTTAGGGAAAAAAAGCACATATACATAATTTTGGTTTACTGCATCTCTTGGCCATAGAGAAATATCCAAATTTCGTATGATAATCTGCTTTTGATGTAACTTATCAATAAAGAATAAAAAATATATCTGGGATTTATTTAAAGAATAAATTTCACATCAAAATAAAAGTTGGATCTTTTTAAAACAAGCTTTCTGACTAAAATTAATGGATCCAGATTAATTTATTATTCCTTTAAAATTCAGACTGTAATTGCTAGGAGCAATTTAAAACAAGAAACTTAAAACTTCAAATTACCATGATGACTAAACACTTCTCTACTGTTTGGTATCTTGGCATTTTAAAAAAGACTTCAGTAGTAGCAATTACAATACTCAGTGATTATTAGCTAAAATATCTTCATCTATATACATAGTCTCACTTGGATCACATTTAAAAATTCTCTCCTGAAAGGCAGAATCCACAGCACTTAAAATAATAATGAGAGGAGTTCCCTCACTTCAGGAAGATCAACGATACAATTCTAGGACTTTTTCCATAAAACACTGAAATAAGTCCTAGCTTGGGGAAAAAAATCCACAAGTGTTAGTTATCAATTAATGAAAACATCAAAATGAGATTCCCCTACATAAAAAAATTCCCTTTATAAATCTTACTGCTTATGCAGCTAAAAATATACACACTGGATATATCAGTAAATAACTTACAGGTGAAAATAAATATTAGTTACTGCATATCCAGAACTTTGCTGTTTTTAAAGAACTAAAAAAAAAAAATTTTAAGAGCTTCCTGTGAGGGCCGGGGATTTAGCTCCGTGGTTCTGCCACCTGCTTTGCAAACTCAAGGTCCCAAGTTCAATCCCCAGTATCAAAAAAAAAAAAAAGAGTTTCCTATGAGAAACTATAATAGATCACTTTTATGTTGCAACTAAGTTAAAATATCAAATATCATTGTAAGTTTAATAAATTACATTCTTCATTAATAGCATTTTCTAAATAATGACAAAAATACATTAAGTCAACACTACATCTGAGTTCCCCTACAGGACAGAAAAGGCTCCCCTACAACTAAAAGGTACATGTACAATTTCTATTTTATCTAACAACTGCTCCCATATTTTCTCTGTCAATATCATTAAAATCACCCTACCTGTTTGGATCGTGGTCTACCAGGAGAAAATTTTCTTTTGGTAATAGCTGGTTTACCCATGCCAATTTTTGGAGTGACTGAGATGTAAGTGGTTGGCATGATGTTGCCAGCAGAAGAACTGAGAGTTGAAGAGTAACTATGCAGCATGTCATGTGAAGGCAAATCTGAAGAAAGTGTTGGAGAGGAAGACGTATTTGCCTTGCCTATGTCTGCTGATGGTGAAAACGGTGACTCTGCCTCAGATGGTAATTTTACAGATTTATCTCCTGGGCATAAACCATCTTTCACACAACTCTCAACTGCAGAAGTCATTTCAAGATCCATGAACCCAGCAGAAAATTCAGAATTTTCTTTCTGTTCTATCTCTTCTTGTACTCTTTCTGCAATCAACTGTTCCTTAGAACATGAAGTACTTTCCTCACTTGGGGATACTAAGGCCGCTGGTGGAACAGTGACAGATTCAATGGTTGACGCCGAAGGCCGTGGTTCTTCTTTGCATACCACCCCTTCAGGTTCATGTAACAATTGTAGTTCTTCCTGCTGCACAACAATCTGGTGCGTAAGGACTTCAATATCTTCTGTCACTTCCATTTTGTCTTCCTTTTCATCTTCATCATGAAGATGTGACACTTTAGAAGGCATTTCCATTTTTTCACTAGCAATGTCACAAGAAATCTCATTTTCCAATTCAGAATTCATTTTATTTGGGGATGTTCCTATAAAATTCAGATAATACTTATTATAGTAATGTTCATACAACATTCTAAGTGTTTAACTATGAATAGGTATAAAATATTTGGCTAAATCACCACTGAAGTGTAAAGATATTCATCAAGAAAGGCAACTATTTCAGTTAATAAAAGCCAAACTGCACAAGGACTTATGGATCAGAATTAAATACATACCTTCTAAAAACATGGCTTTAATAGAATCCCCAGAGTCTGAGGTAATTTCTAGTAAGAACACCAAAAGAAAATTACTAATATAATTCTAATATACACATATGATGTTTTGCAATTTGAACACTTACAAAAGGATCAAAAAGTGTGTATGTAAAATTATCATATTCATCTTACAGCTAAGAAAAAGACGACCAGTAATAATGTATAAAGTATCTAAGTTAAAAAGTGAAGATTGGTCTGTAATGTAAAGATATTTTGCAGATAATCTGGTTAAAAAAGCTTACACAGACTCAAAGTGAGTACCCAGCACAGGTAGAAAACACTTAGTAATCACCAAGACTTATTTTGCTTATTAGCTATACCTGCCAACCTACCCAAGATGTATTTTGGGTACCATCCTTGTTCATCCTTACTGTTCTTCCTTATTGTTCCTTCCTTACCTAAGAAATTAATCTTAGCAAATCTATATAAACACATTAGATACTGAAATACATAGCATTATGGTTTAGATGTAAAGTATCCCCCAAAAGCTCTGTGTTTGGGAGCTGACTGAATCATGGGGGTGCTAACACATCAATGGATTAGCCCACTGTTGAGTGATTCATAGCTGACTTTGCTGGTGGGGCTTGGTTGAGGCAGGAGTGACCTGGAAAGATATTCTTGTTCCTCGCTCCTCCCTTCTTTCTGATATCTGGCTGCCATGAGTTGAACACCATTTTCTCTGTCAGGCCCCTCTGCCAGGCTGTTTCTGCCTTGAAGCCAGCTGAACATAGACTAAAATCATGAGCCACAACAAACCTTTCCTTGTTTTAAATTGTGCGTGTTGGGTATTTGGCAACAGGAAAGTAACAAAAGCAGATACAAATAAATATAGATGGTATTGATACAGATATAGACAGACAAGACACAGAGAGATACATATGTACATACATAGTATCACTAACTGGTAAATTTAAAATCTGAGTACTAGTGTATTAAGCCTTTATCCCAGGCCCCAATTGGCATGAGCCCTAAGTGACTCTACAAAACAGAACCGAAGATAAAAAGCATTTATTCCAAATGTCCTCAAGGCAATTTTTAAGTTACACTAATAAAGACACTAATCTCCTTTATTATCTATTGATCACTGATTAAAATTTAGTTTTGATGCCAAAATCAGATCTCACATCTCATTTCTGCTTTATTATTTAAAGACTAAAGTTGAGGATAAAGGAAAAACATCAGTACTAAAATTTTTAAACAAAAAAAATCTTTTTTTATAAACAAAAAAATCTTTAACAGAGAAACTGTCAATTGTCAATTCTCTTCAGGAAAGTATCACTTGACTCAAAGATTTAGTTATTATTAACTATGTGTGGCAACTACAAAAAGGTCTTTGGGATAATTTATTTGAAAAGTTAATTTAATGGACAATTTTTTGAATCTACATAATAATCATAAAAGGGCTAGCTTGTAACTCCACCATATTAGACAAATGGAACACACACTTACCAGAAATGAGAAGGCCATCTGTGTCAAGACTTTCTGATGCATTACTCTTCGGCTGCTCTTCAGTGCGGATGACTTGAACTGCCACAAATAACGTATTATGGAATCTCTAGCAAGGAGTCAGAATTGTGCTAACATTGCTTGCACAACAACAAACATTGCTCCCAAAACAATATGAATGAGAGTTTTGCCTACCACAAAATACCAATTTTCAGCATAAGCACAAAGTGGCATAGAAACATAAAATTGGGAACTGTGTATGCATAGTAAGAAATACTGTAACTACTTCTTATTTTTCCTCACATAGTATCTTCATGAAGTTTTGTGTTTGTTGTGCTGGTGGTACTGGGGATTAAACCCAGGGCTTTCACACTGTGCTACATCCCCAACACTTTTTTATTTTTTGAGACAGGGTGTCACTAAATCGTCCAGGCTGAGCTCAACCTAGGTGATCCTCTGCCTCACTGCCACAGCCTCCCTTGTAGCTGGGATTACAGATGCATGCCACTGTGCCCAGTGAAGTAAAACTACTGTATTAATGAGTTGATAAATGTGAACTTAACACATTTCAAAAAAATCTAAGGCTTTTTATGCACATACTCAAACTATATAATTTAACATACCACCTCATATATAATACCACTTTCAGATAAGCTCATGATTTAATAAGGAGTTCTTTCTCAACAGTCTCATTAATTCCAGATCTTCAAGAACAGTAAGAGCTATTACCAATACTATAAAAATACAACTGAAATTATCCTCAATAGGACTGCTGATATGGCCTAATACAATAAAATTTTCATTATCTCAGCATGAAACACCTCACAATCACCAAGAGCTCTAGTTAGCAATTTAAGAACTAAAGAAAGAAAAAAATGATGATCACTTGATCCCTACACAAAGTACGTGCTTATGATTAAATCTATATTTCTGCTGAACTGTAAGTACATACAGTACGTAACTTCTATTAATTTGTGCCTAAGATTATCTTTCTAAAAAGCTCCTAGCTATAAGCAGTTTCCAATGTGTCCATATCCTGGCCAACTCTTAATTAGTGTGATCAAGTTTTAGTAGATATTTGCATATTCACTGTATATATACATTTTCCTCAAAAACAGATTATATTCATCAACAAAAGCATCTTACCATCTGGAACAATTCCAGGTGCGGACTCCTGATCACTAACATCTTTGTTAACTGCTCGCTCCAAAAACACCATTTGCTCTTCAGTTCCTTCAACTTCCATTTCATTGTTATAATCTTAAGAGAAAATTATTAATTCTTTAGCTCACAAAGAGTTTTTCTGTTTTTGTTAACTAAATGAACAATTATGGTCTTGTTCTGGTGAGGGTAAATTATCAGGAATGGCACAAATTTTTCTTCAGATTTTTCTTTTTTGAACCAAATATTTACATTTTTAAAACATAAAAACTACATCACATTGAAATGTAATTGGTTATGTGGTGTCAACTAAAAATATTATCTTACAGGCTGGGGCAGTAGCTCATGGTAAACAAGGTCCTGTGTTTGATGCCCAGAACCTCCAAAATAAACAGCCAAACAAATTTACTTTTTGCAATATGGAACAATTCCAGATATAGATTCCTGATCACAGTGGACACTTTTATTAACTCACTTGCTTCAGAGTGGTGTGTGTGTTAAATTGGTATTTTTCCTTGCTTAGCCCCACCACCACCCTTACTTGCTGGGGACTGAATATAGGGCCTTGCACATGCTAGGTAAGTGCTCTACCGCTGAGCTACATCCTGGGTCCTTTTTCCATTTTATTTTGAGACACGGTCTTGCCCTAAGTTACCCAGGATGGCCTCAAACTTATAATTCTTCTGCCTCAACTTTCCAAGTATCTAGAACTACTGATGTTCACTACCATGCCTAGCCAGCACTTTCTTATTTTAAAGAATATTCATTCCACTACTGTATGCCAATGGTATCCTGGAATGAAATGTCAGTACTAAAGATGCCTCTATTTAAATCTTCTGTGGATGATAAAATAGGACTTTTATAAAGGTTGCCAATCATATTGACAAAAATGCAAAACAATGTGTAAAGCAGGTCTATTTTCATATAAGAACAGGATACAATCAAAAAGTATTCTCTACCTGAATGAAATTTTGGGTTCAAGAGGTGATAATAAACATTTGAGTAGAGTGTTAGAAAACAAACCTTGTTTAGAGCAAGATAACACAGATTATGAAAACAAACAACACAATACCCTTACAGCTGAAGAAGTAGAAAAGCACATCAAGCAGTAAGAAAATGATCAAAAAGGGCCGGGAATTTAGCTCAGTGGTTTCGCCACCTGCTGCGCAAGCGCAAGGAACCGAGTTCGATCCCCAGTACCAAAAAAAAAAAAAAGAAAAAAAGAAAATGGTCAAAAAGAAGCTGGCTTTGATGTTAACCATCAGATTTTGAAATGACCAAGACAGTGAATATACTTAAAGGTATAGAAACTGAGAACAAGATGGGATCAGACACACAGGATTTATTCATTATGATTAAAGTAATAGGCTGGTAACTGGCTGGCACATGTCATATTAAGAAAAAAGGAATAAAAACTCCCTCGCAAGTGCAAGATCCTAAGTTTGAACCCTGGTCCCACCAAAAAAAAAAAAAAAGTCCCAACTTACCTGTACTGAGTTCTGCCATCTCCACTTCATCACCTGGCTGTAACTGATCCATCTCAGTTCCTAAGAGTTTACAATACATGCAGATATACTCTTCCTTGAGCTGAGAATCCAGTTCATGATCTGTTGGTTTGTCACATTCTAAGTGAACCCATCTGCAGTGATAAATATATTTAAATAAAATTTTCTAATTTAAAGTCAAATTAGTGCCTACAGAAAGAGGAGGCAACTCCAGGAAACCCAGAGAATGAAAGGGGCTGGCAACTGGCAAAAGTTTTCAAAAGGAATTTGGCATTTGTTGATGTTCTTAGAGGTGTTCACATATTTTTACTTCCAAGTTTTTAAACACTACTCTTCCCGGGCTGGGGATTTAGCTCAGTGGCACTGCACCTACCTCACAAGCGCAAGGGTCCTGAGTTCAATCCCCAGTACCACACACACACACATGCACACACAAAAAAACCACTACTCTTCCCTCTTAACTCTCATTTCTGGTCAGCTGTGGCAATGTAAGTTTTAAGAAATGGTAGAGCAAATGATCACATGGATCAAACATTCAACAAGGCAATTAAATGGAATAACTATATTTTCTTACCTCTTGCACATATTACAATGGAGCATGTCTTTCTGCAATTCTGGATGATAGCACTTTCCACAGAAAGGACATAAGTTATCCTGCTGTTGGTAACAAGTATCACATATCAGGCAATTGTGATGCCACTGAGAACTAGATCGTGTGCCACACTCTACACATATTCTGCAATTCTAAACATTAGGAAAAAATAAAAACAAGAAACAATGTATTTATAATTGCAGTTCTTATGTAAATCTTTTTGAAATCAACGAAACATTTGTGGATTGAACATTAATTTTCATGATACCAATTGGAGGTATGTGCTTTTGAAAAAGTAGTTTGTTTTGAACGGTGCCTGACCACATAAAATTTGCCCTAAGACCTCCAAGAAAATTTAAATTGGGGGGGGGGGTCCTAGGAAAATATTAACATGACAGAAAGAAACCAAAAACATCACACTCCAAACTTCAGAATAAACCATATGCCAAAATCAGGAAGGAAATTTAAGGACATCTAATCAACCCACTACTGCAGAAATCAGGATGCTGCTGCTGTACTATTCCATTTGCTTCTTGGTAGCTTAGGAACTGAAAACAAGAACTCTTGCTACCAAAAGAATATGACCCACTCAATGTGGCTTGATGCTTCAGATTGTCAAGGTAATAACTATATGTCAAAGTTCAGTGACAGGTCCTCATATTTTTTGAACAGAAAATTATTCTATCTGAACCAAAGTGGAAATTATTATGAAGTACAAGGCCTTCCCCCAAGGCCAGCCAAAATTTTTTCTGTGCCTGTTCCCTAGCCTTCTTCAAAATCCTGGACACAAGTCTGAAAAAGAGAAAACTAGCAAGAACCACCAACTGATGTGTTAGTCTTATAGATGCAAAGTGGACAGACATACTAGTAGAAAAATTCTAAGTCAAGTATTATCAAACAGACTCCAATACCATATTAAAAAAACAATATGCCCAGTGGGATATAAAAGAAATACAAGGGTATATATAATTATTAGAAAAATCTATTAAGAAATACAAGGATGTTTAAATTTTTTGTTGTTGCTTTTTTGGTACTGGGGATGGAACTCAGGACCTCACGCTTGCCAGGCAGGCGCTGTGCCACTGAGATATATCCCCGGCCTAATTTTTAAAGTCTGTTATAAAATTTAAGATATTAAAAAGTCTGAGAAGAAAAAATTATTCAACAGCAGGTTATCAAATATACAAGTTGATAGAATTCACGCACAAATGATAGTTAAAAGATACGAGAAAATCCCATTTATAATAGCAACAAAGTAAGAGAAATAAACTTACAAAATGTTCAAAATTTACATGATGAAAATTGTAAACATTCTCAAAAGACAGAAAACTAGATGAACAAATGCAAAGACATCCATTGTTCTTCGTTAGGGAATCTTATTCAACATGCCAGTTCTCCCTAAATCAATAAATGTAACATGATTCCTAACAGATACCAATGATATAGCTTAATGGAGCTAAAGAAACTGATTCTAAAGTTCCTATAGGAAAATAAATACATGAGAACAGTTAGGAAAAGCTCTGAAGGGGGCCCAACATCACCAGATACATATCCTCTATATTTAAAACAATAAGGTGCTGGTGGATGACTAGATGGATCGATAGAATAGAAAAACTATTCCGACCAAATCTAAAGTTCTAATCTAGAATCTCAAGTCACTGGGCAAAGATAGTCATTTTAATGAATGGTTTCTTAAAACTGAACTGAAAAAAGATACACCATACACAAGCATCAACTGCAAATGTATTAGAGATATAAATACAGTAATACCTCAGTTCATGAACACTTCTGTTTGTAAACAATTTGGTTCGCAAACAAAAGCGTTTGGCAAAATTTTGCTTTCATTAACAAACTGCATCGGGAGACAAACACAACTATGGCCATTTTCCCCAAAATCGTAAAACAAATTAAGTTCATAAACCAAGGCACTATGTATATAAAATAATGCAAATATCAGAAGAAAATAGTAACTGCTCTATAATCTTGTTAACACATAGGAAAAAGCTTTCTAATGATGAATCAAAAATCCAAAAGCAGCCAGGTGTGCTGCTACACTCCAATTTAACCCAGCACTTGCAAGACTGAGGCAAGATTCATGAGTTCTAGGCCAGCCTAGGCTACACAAGTTCAAGACCAGCTGACTATTTAGTAAAATCCTGTCTCAAAAAAAAATCCAGATGCCATAAAGATTAGTAAATCAGACTACATAAAAACAAACTTCTCCACAGTAAAAATAACAAAGGACAAATGAAAAAATATTTGTATCATATAACATTTAAAGCCCGTATATACTTAATTTTATGAAAAACTCTTAAATTGGGAAGAAAATACCAAACTTCAGTAATGGTCAAAACACATAAAGAGAATTCACAAAGAAGATGAAAACTGAGGTTTAATTCTATGAAAAAATTATCAACATCACTCATAAAAGAAATGAAGATTAGCCGGGGATGTAAGTTGTGGCCCCACACCTGCCTGGCAAGTGCAAGGTCCTGAGTTTGATCCCCGGTTTCGGGGGGAAAAATAAGAAGAAATGAGAATTAAAACTACATTAAAATACCAAGTGACAAAATTAAAATACAGAGGGTAGCTTAGATGAAAATACTGTAGTGATGTAAATCTACAAAGTTGACAACAGTTTATGTAAGACTATCCTCATTACAAAGAAATACACATTGAAGTATTTTAAAGTAAAAGGGGTATTGTGTATGTAACTTACTCTCAAACAGGGATGGCTAACAACAGATTACAGTGGTAGCTCGGTTCACAGACTTAATTCTTTTCATGATTCTGTTTGCACACCAAATCAAATTAAACAAGTTCAACATTTACCTTATGGAGAAATTCAATTTGGTTCACAATCAATTCCGTTTGCAACCAAAATCATGGAAAAAATTAAGATCACAAACTAAAGTACCACTGTAACAGACACTGACACATTGGAAGAGACAATTTAAAGAACTCTCATTGACAGCATTTAAAAATACTATCAATAACTGAACCTAGATAAGTGGCATGATGGGCCATGTATTCTTCTAACTTTCAAAGTTTAAAATTATTTTCAAGTAAAAACATTTTAGTGTGTATTATACCAAACACATGTATTGTTGAGAAAGAGGGGAAAACTGCTAACCAATGATGCTGAACAGCAAAGACCTAGCAGTGATAGCGAACCTTTTAGAGGATTCAAGCACACAGCCTGCAGCAGCATGCGTGCCACAGGTTCGCCATCACTGACCTAGAGGATGGCATCCTGTCTAGACTGGGATGGGTCAGGGCACATCTACTTCCCCCAGCATCTCCAGCCCATGCCCAAGTGACCCCACACACTATTAAGCCCTTGAGTGCTGATTCCATGAATGACTAGAACCATGAGACAAATGAAGATCAGAGGAAGAGGCCATCCTTCACACGGCTCAGAGGAGGGACTTTCCTACGGAAAACTCTGAGGGTGTGGGTATTCACTTTATATCAGGCATTATCCCGGGCACTTTACAGACCTCATCACACAAACTCCAACACCCCCAGGAGGTAAGAAAGAACTCTTAACATTCTACATATTGACTTAGGAAAATCTAATAACTTGCCAAAGAGCATATATTTAGAAAATGAAAAAAGCCAGAATTCCACTCAATAGCCTAAGCGCTTAACCACTACATTATATATTATTAGCTACATCAAAGAGAATTTTAAACGTATCCAATAGTGTTCTCAGCAATACTGGATACAATTCTGTCTTTCTGAAAGAACAGTAGACTATCAGAGAGCAATGAGCGAGAGTAGACCAAATGGAAGTCAAGGAAGAAGCCGAGAAAGACACAAAGAATTCTACAGAAAGTTTCCAAGATAATAAAATGCATAAGATTATGAATTAAGATCAGGAAACAAAATCTATCTACATATTATTAGAGTATAAAGAATGTTAATGTTCTGTAAAAAGCAGATAAATATTGTATTTAAAACAAAACAGCAACAATCAAAAACATTCTTCCACTCCTTTCAATGAGGCTGACAGTAGCCAACACGACCAGGGCACAAATTAATCAGTGTAGCACCACATTAGCTAGATTCTGGAAGCAAAACCAAAGGATTAACAAAAATAAAATAAATAAATTTTTCAGGCAGAAAAAAAGGACTACATTGAAATAAATACTTTTATAAGACCATAAACTGGATCAGCTCTGGAAAAAATGATTCTAGAGTATGAGTTCTATGGCACTTTGAAAGGGACAGTCTCTTGGAAATGATGGGTTTCAGAAAACCGAAATTCTTTTTAAAATCAGCATAACCAGGACTCCAAAAAGTCAAAAGTAAAGTTGGGATTAGCAGAGGAAATATATTTTTTGCAAAAGAAATACAATCAGGCCTTTATTTTTGTTAATTCTTTAGTTTTGCTTCCAGAATCTAGCTAATGTGGTGCTACACTGATTAATCTGTGCCCTGGTCGTGTTCGCCACTGTCAGCCTCACTGAAAGGAGTGAAAGAAGAGAAAACTTGTATTTTCAATATGTATAACAACTAACATTCATTAAGCTCTAAACTTCAAATCAGTGCAAGAAGTTAAAGTACCATAAAAATTTTAAATTAAAGGAATGCACACCTGGCAAGAGCAAGGCCCTGAGTTCTATTCCCTATACCAAAAAGAAAAAAAAAAAAAAAAAAAAAGAGCATGCAACTGGTGAACCAACAGCCTATGTGGTCATATTGCTATGTCAAGCAAAGGAAGGAAGGGGTGAGCTACATGGGAGAAAGGATGATTTTATACTGATAAAAAGCACAAGCTAAGTGTGGTGGCACATGTCTGTAATCCCGAGATTCTGGAAGACTGAGACAAGAAGATCCCAATTTCACACCCAGCCTAGGCAATTTAACAAGGCCTTGTTTCAAAACAAAAATTAAAAAGAAGCTGGGGCGTAGCTCAGTGTGAAAGTACTCAGTTCAGTCCCAACTACCACTTAAATTTTTTTTTTTTTAAAGGACTATATAGTAACACTGGCCTTACCTTCTTACTAGCAGCTACAAAAATAAATGCTTAGGGGGCCGGGAATTTAGCTCAGTGGTTCTGCCATCTGCATTGCAAGTGCAAGGTCCCGGGTTCAATCCACAGTACCAAATAAATAAATAAATAAATAAATGCTTAGGGGAGTGGGGAATACAAGGAGAGACTGATGGGAACAATTACAGTAGTTTTATCAATTTTTAAATCGACTTAACATGTCGAAAATGACTAAAAAGGTCTTTGTCTAGCAGTGAAATTAATACACAAATACTACATTTTTTAAAAGCCAGTATTTCAAGTATCAAAACAATTGTTTTTAAAAGCCTACAATGGTAAATTTTCTAATTAAATGCATTAAAGCAAAAATTAACATTTCGGTATGCCCATAAAAAAGAAAGATGAAGCCATTAGGTCTGGGATACACATATATAAAGTTACAAATACAGAACAAGAAAGAAAAGTTATAAATATAATAAATTTGTATGCAAGCAAAGTTACAACCAAAGGTAAATTTATAGTCTTTAAAATCCTTAGGAAAAGACAGAAAACAAATTACATTTTCAACTTCATATTTCAGAAAGTAAAAAGGCAAGCAGAGGCAAATGACTACATTCAGTGAAAATGGAAGTATAAATGTACCAACAGTAAGTGTTATTCCTCAGCCCCTCGTCAAGAGAACACAGCAGCGCCTCTCCCTTGGCCAGGGACGAAACTGAGGGATCTGGGCCTAACCAGCCTTCTCCTTTCAGCCCGCAGGCTCCGCCTCCAGGAGCCACACGTGAGCACACTTACTCAAGAGGCTCTCGGTTCCCCAGGTGAGACGGCCCAAGCCCACAATCCCCCACCATCCGGCCACCGCAGGAGAACTGGCGGCGCACACCTTAGAAGCCATCAGGCCGCTTCCAGCGCCAGGTGGCGGTCTTCCAGCCAAGGGGGCGCGGGTGCGGTCTCCTCTGTATAATCCCTCCCCGCCCCCAAGACCTGCCGCAGGAGCACCCTCCCCGCTGGGAAGACTGTTCCACCGAGACAGGCGCCCCCAGCCACGTCCACGTCCGCAGGACGCCTCGCCTCTCCGGCTCGCGGGGAGAGGAAGGGGGAGGCCCCCAGGCCCGCGCCACCTTGGGGTGCTCCACCAGCTTCGCGACCTAGCAGCCTGTGAAGCTGAAACCATCCAGGAAGACGCCAAGAACGTGACACCTGCGGCAGTCGACATAAAGGGAGACTGAGGCCTGGGGCAGACATACACTGTATTCCAGGAGCACGTTTCTGTGCCACTGGGACAAGAATGTGAAGCTGCCGGGAGAACACAGATTCTGGAGAACTGTATGTTTTCTGGAACCTTGAAAGGTTTCATTGCAATACTAATCTAAAAATACAAAATTTAACTGACCATCAAGAGTACTGCAATGCAGACTTTGATACCTACATTTAACATTTGTAGGAAGATGTCTGGATGGCACAGGAATATGCACCCCCCCAGCATAACAATCCACAAAGCATGCAGGTAAATCCAAAGAACAAGCAGAGCCTTCCTGTCCTCCTACATTTCTACTTAGAAATTAACCTGCAGACGGCATACAAGTAAGTTGTGTTTTAGAAGTGACTGGACTGACACTCCATTTTTTACAAATTTCAGTTGTGCCACAATGGTGAGCCTCTGAATAAAGGCTTTACAAAGCTTACTGACATTTTATTAAATCTAATGTTCAAAGACCAACTGGCGCCATAAGGTCTAGTTAACCTAAACCAGTAAACAAGGGCACGGCATTATCAATACTATTTTTATACAAAAACTTTTACAAAAGACACTCTCTGTGGCTCAGTAATAAAGCACTTCATGGCTGAGACCCTAGGTTCATCTTCCAGTACCTCTACGGGAAAAGGCCCTCTCTACATAAATATTATTAAAGAAAAAGCTTAAGCACTGAACTGGGCCTGAGAAAAATCCAATCTCAGCGACTTAGTTTCAGAGCAAAATTATTTGTTATGTTATATTAATATATCTTAATTCATTGCATTTACTTTAAAAATTCTATTTGGTAATGTTTAAAAATTAAAATTATAATGAGTAACTGAAGTCAACATCAGGGAGGGGAGAGAGATTATGGATCTGAAGTCCTGAGTTTGCTGGAGCCTAGATCCTAACTGAAATGAAAAATAAATACTGTACTTCATAATTTAGAGAGAGCCCTTGTCACTCAAATAAATATACATACCATGATGCCACAAAGAAACAGCACAATCTGTTAGACTAAGGCATTTTAAGACGAGTTATCAAAATTTTATTGTCTGTTCTACATATACAAATATATAAATCTGGATACTTTTCTTACCCATCAAGCTTTCCCTAGCCCTGGATCTAGAATTTGCTACTTGGCCTGTAAAGATTTCAAAGGAAGCACTTTCTTTTAGGTTGATTTCACCTTCTAGAGAACATTCAAAGGAAGGCCATAGTAAATACTGTTTATAAATATCTTCCCAGAAGAAAAAAATATATAGGTATACTGATTAGCTGAGAATTAAAGATTAGCTTGAATTATTTTTACCTTCCATTTTCACTTAAGAATTTAAATACTTTGTGCTTCTACACAGAAGCATACCCTAAAATCTGTTGTCATTTACAGGTGCTATACAAACTCTGTTAAAGATAGGTAGAGTTGTCAATCAACCTACAGGAACTATGTAAACTAATGACATAACCTCAGGAAATTTCTGAGGAAGCTTGAAGTGACCAGCACAGAATATTTCAGGGTGATAAAGATGAATATACAAAAACAGATATGGGGGGGAGGGGAAGGGCTTACTGACAAAAAGAGCAAGCAAAAAATAACTGCAAATAAATATTAATAAGTTTCCGAGCCAGGCGTGGTGATGCTCACCTGTAGTCCCAGCACTTGGGAGGCTGAGGCTGGAGGCTCACCATAATAAGTTCCAGCCCAGCATAGGCTACACAGTGAGTTCAAGGCCAGCCTGAACTACATAGGAAGACACTCTCTCTCAAAAAAGCTTCCTACCAAGTAGAAATATATTAAGTAATTAAAAGGTGAAAAAATATCTATAGATCATAGATCCTGTCCACATCTCAAACCCAAGAACTTCAGACAGCATCTAACAGAGAAACAGCTGAGTCAATAATCACTTACTTAAAACTACCACAGAGGAGGAACCCAGAAGTTTCATGATTCCAAATATTTAACGCATATACACACAAAGATATACAAATATAGTTATATATAGCTATAAAATAACTGTAAGGGACCTAAGAGCTATTCTTAACTCATCAAATACAGTGTTTTGTGTGTAAAGCCCTGGGATTTAATCTCCAGTACTAAATGAAAAAGAAACTCTTTTTACGATTAGAAATTAACAGATTTTGAAATACATCCCTTTCAGTATGCACATGTGGTACTACCACCTATTTTAGAAGGTTTTTGGGAAGATTGATACATAATGCAAGCAAAATTAATGTCATTCATGGAGCTTCATACAAATGTTAGTTAAATGTTCACAGCATCTTTTAATAACACCTCAAAATTGTAAGCAACCCAAATGTTTACCAACAGATGATCTAATAAACTGTGGCATTTATACCTAATGTAATAAAAAGGAATCACTAGTGATATGTGCAACAATATGGACAAACCTCAAGAAAATTGAGTAAAATAAGCCAGACCTTTAAAGAATATATACATTATGATGGCATTTATATAAAATGCTAGAATATCAATACTAATCTATAGTGAGAAAAAGACTGCCTGGGAAAACCAGAGAAAGGCGTCAATAGCCAGGAAGAAGGGATTCCCCAAAGAGCACCAGGAAATTTTGGGGGATGAGGATAAGACCTATTATATTGAAAAGGATAGTAAATTTCATGTGTCAAATTTAGGCTTTAAATATGTGTGGTTTGTTGTATATCAACTACACATCTATAAAGCTGGTTTGTTTGTTTTGTTTTGTTTTTGGTACTGGGGATCAAACTCAGATCCTTGCACTTGCACAGCAGGCGGTGAAACCACTGAGCTAAACCCCCGGCCCTATAAAGCTGTTTTTTAAAGTTGATGGTAAGGATAGATTTGAATAGTTACCATTTTTGCTCTCTATATAAAGCATAACAGAGAATATGTTTCTTTAAAAAAACAACTTACTTTGCATTTCCAGCCATTGGTTGGTACTGATTTCATAACTGGTTGAAGACAAAAAGTATGATACCCTTTGTCACACGTATCACACACTAGCATCTTGCTATCTTCTCCTGATTGTCTAAAAAATAAGATAGCATTAATGATGCCTTATCTTTAAACTTTTGTTTTGTAACATGAAATATTGACAAAAATAATCAGTTGTAGAAGCTGCACAGTTCATAGATACCTCAGTATCTGTTTTGTCTCTGCATAAACAATGTAGAGGTAACCCCTACCATGAGAACCTAAAGAATTATCCTTACCTGAAGTTCACCTGTGGTTAACTTGTTTTAGTCATGTTAAGACTCCTGTAGAGGAGGAGGAGTTAGGACAAGATGAATCATCTTTCCTCTATGCCAGTGGTGGCAAATCCATGGCACGCAAGCCAAGTTGCCCCAGCATCACGCCAGCAGCTGAGTACTCAGGTTTAATCGCACTGTTGGCACTTAGCAATAAATACAAGGGTTTTGGGTTGCAGGTTGGGCACTTGGTCTCTAAAAGGTTCACCATCACTGACCTGTATTTTTCAAAAATCTAATACTTATCCTGTGGGGGGAAGGAGCTGTAATTGCTAAGTGATAAAAGTCTTGATTATAAATTGGAAAGACACTGTCTTCTAATGAAAGAGAGTCAAATTTGGCATTAGATCTGTATTTATACTCAGGCTGTTGTTTCCTAGCTTTGAGACTCCTTAACAACTTGGATTTAAGGTGAGTTTCAGGTATAAAATGGAAATAATCATCAAGAAGTCTTGTGAAAATTAAATATAATGCCAGTTCAAGAACTTAGAATATACAGCCAGGGATTTAGCTCAGTGGTTCCACCACCTGCCTTGCAAGCACAAGGTCCCGAGTTCAATCCCTGGTACCAAAAAATAAAAAAATAAAAAAAAATTGAAAAAGAACTTAGAATATCCAATAAGCAATAAGTGCTAAATCATGCATATTAAGAAAAATAATCTTGTTAAGAATTACAGTTGAAAACCTAAAGTATTCTCTAAACATTCTTTGCTGCAAAGATTGGGCCCCCGACCTGTGATATACTCTTTGTCTCAATTAATGCAATCAGTCACTCTCAGATACTAAGAATTTAATTCAAGACGAGGGGAAAAGAAAAAAATAGGAAATGTAGGCGATGGGTCAGTTACACTCAATTCAACAATTCTACAAGTAAAGTTCCATGTTTTATCTCTTCAGCTACATGGAAAGATCTTGGAGGACAAGCACTCTATTCAAGTTCTCTTAGTCCTTCCCAAGAAACTGATTGAAAATACAAGGTATCAGATAAATATTTGCTGATATTTTACTTGATTTTTACCAAAATGGGAAGGTAAATGTCTAATTTATTCTAAGAAGACACAGATGTTCAGTATTATCAAATTAAATAACTAATGAAACAGATTAATAATGGCAATGCGGGGCACAATTTGCTCCTCATAAAAATTCTTGGCTTGCAAACAGTTTTAAGATTGCTGAAGATGCTGGTAACATCCCCAAATTATTGTCCTCATTATAGAATCATGAGTGGAGGCCAGAGAAAAGACTGGAAAAAAATATCAAAGGATAGAATACAGCACATAGGAAAAGTTAACCCTATGACAAATGTTTAAATGCCACTGACTTCATTTTAGAATTACGGTAACTATAATCTTCTGGAGATAACTATCTTGCAGGTAGATATAAAGATTTTATTAACACAACAGTCTTAATAGAAACTGTTCTTCCTGCAATAGAAATTCAAACATATTGGGGGGGGGTCAACTCTAGCAATTAATTTCTGTAGAGTTTCATTTTCCTATTAAAGATTCTCCACAATTCCCCTCAAGAAAAACTGCTTTACATTTCTATATTAATTATTAATGTAATTCATTTAAAAATTGTTGGCACATTCAATTAGCTTTTTAGGCAACCAGAGGAATTTACATTATTAAAATTAGCTTTCTTTAGAGCTGTTTTAAAATAAGATAAGTGTTAGTAAAATCCAACAATTTAAGGCATGGAGTCAATCTGCATGAATACAGTTGCAAAATGAACAACTTTTTATCATATTACATAAACCTTGAGCACCTCATGACCTTAAACTCAATACACACCTTTGAGTTGAAATTACAACTTACTTGCAATTCTGGCACACTTTGCACTCAGGACATTGCCAACCTGCACGTTTTAATGGAGTGACCACTATATCCAGGCACATTCCATGGTAGTGCTGACCACAAGTAGTACAAAAGAACTGATCTAAAAGGTCTCCTGGGCTGTCGCACACTGCACAGTTTGCATCTTCCTTTGCTATAATTAACAGCAAAACAATGAAATTGTTGCACACGAATTTAGTATTTTTCTGATTTGACAGTTTTAAAATCACTCAAGGGGAATTTGTATGATATATCTTTCAGACATTTGAAGTTATCCACATAGAACTGATATTCAGTCAGAATAAGGTCTCAATAAAAATACTGCAGTATAAATATCTAAATTTAACCACATTAAAATTAATCTTGTAGTTTTGCAATTATTTATGTCTATTTACATGAGACCATAAGCAGTTTTTATTTATCTCTAATACCAATGATAATACCATGCATGCATTTAGTTAATGTTCAATATATATTTGCTATAAAGAACCAAAAATACACAAAAAAACCAAAAGCATAAGCCAAAAGAACCGAGGGAAAAAAAAATCCAATTGAGAGATCTTTGTAATGTAAAAATAAACGGTTTGGACTCGATATTTGGAAATTACAATATAACAGACAAAATTAAGAAATATTAATGTTAATGAGATTAAAATGCTTAACCATAAACAGATTATTCAAATTGAATAAGGGTTTCTCAAATACTGGAACATGCCTTTCATAAGAGAACATTAAAGATGGAAGCTACATATTGCTACATGAATACAATGCTTCATATGCTAATCCTATACTCATTCAGACTGATCTCCTGTAAAAGGATTAAAAATCTGTATTCTTATAGACACTATCTATCCTTAAGTGATTAAAAGATGCCTTCTAACATTACACACACACACACAAAATGGAAAAATAAACATACTCCTTTGCCTGATACCCTCTTAAGAGCAGTTATATTACAATATTAGAAGAAAAACAATGTGTTCTAAACTCATACCAATTTTAGCTAATACAAATGTGTTACATATAACATACATCACAAAGCAGATGAATCTTCCCCCAACCCCATACAGTTGAAGGTTTGCTAAATTCTATCTATTCCTCTCTGACAAAAAACACTTTCTACTTTCTTTCTTTCACAATCAAGCATCTTGAAAAAGAATAGTAATATATTCCTTTCACTTGTGCCAGGAACCTGTAAACTTTTTCTGCAATGGGCTAGATAATAAATATTTAGGCTTTATGAGCCACTGTGGTCTCTCTACCACAAACTTTTTATTATTATTTACAGTCCTTTAAAAATGTAAATACCATTCCTAGCTACAGGGTAGTGGTTACAAAACAAAACAAAAAAACCCGGTCTTGACTCAGCCAGCACCCACCACTGACCTGAAGCTACTTTAGTGAGACTATCAATAACCAGGTGAAATCCAGTCCTTACTTTTAACAGCATGCCTTATTTGCACTTAGCAGAATTTACATCCCTAGCACTCTCTTATTTAAATTCCCTTCCCTTGCCATCTCTCTCCTGACTTCTCCTTAAGTTTCCTTTTTTTTTTTTTTTGTACTAAATACTTTTATTGGTACATTGTAGGTATACAACACAACTACATTTCTCATTGGGAACTGTACCTTTACATAATGCATCTTGGTTCTTATTTTTTCCCCATTCCTAGCCCTCCTTTCACCCCCTCCACCCTTCCCTATTTA